ATAAAGTATACTATTTGTAATACTGTCTAATCAAATATACAATGTTTCATTTTAAAATATACTGTTTCTCTTTGTAAATATACTGTTTATTTTTTCATTCAGTAACTTAAATTTATAAAACTTCAATATCAACTCAATTAAAGTAGAACTTTCTTTTTGAATATAACCCTTTAAACTTCTATTATATCCTCTTATCGTGATTTCTTAAGAATGGCGATACAAAAGCATACAAAGCAGATATGTATTCTTTATCAGCTTAACAAGACAAATCGATCTAGACATCTGTCTGGATTAAAGAAGTGGATATTTAATTTATTTCTGAAAGAGATGAACTCACATTTTCTCCCTTCCCCAGTCACAGAATTTTGAAAATGCTGTATAATTCTAGAACTACAAGAACTTAATTTCGCCTACGTAATTAAAAAAAAAAAAAAAGTTGAATAACTTCTTTTTGTGGTGAACGGTTTTTTTTTGGATGCAGGGTATATCATTTTCAGTCTTGCTCGCCTCGTTACAAACTCTCTTGTTAATTTATGCCTTCAAAGATTTCTGATGTCTTCAGCTACGGTCACATATGCAAATAATCCATAGCTCTACAAAAATGAAAAGCTGAAGTTATATAATATGGGAAGCAGCTTGCTTCGATGTGTTACAACAGTTTGGCATAAAATAAATAGTTGCATGCTCCCTTTGGATAAAGAACTGCTAGACAACATCAACAATCTGGATATGGGCGTGTTACGGGCAACATCAATTAGTCGGGAGCTTGCAATAATAATGTGAAAAATATTCAGTTGCATGATTGACCCGTGACCCACATAATGCGGCAGCGCAGACGCTCACAAATAGATATAGGCCCCGCAGCAAGTAAAGCCAAACGTTGTTTATAAATGGGGGTAAGCAAACACACGCACACACTGACAAATACACGCACACAAGCACAGAGTAACACACACAGTTACACAGAGAGCGCAAAAAGTCATTGGCCTTTTAGCTGTCACCGTCGAGAAGTTGCAGCAAGCGGCGCATGCTTGACCGCTTCGACAGCAGCAGCAATAGCTATAACAACAGGCAGCAACTACTGCTGGTAGCGCGCGCTCACACACACACACACACACACACACACTGTTGTTATTATTTCTTTATAGTATTATTATTATTTTGGCTCACACGCAGGCGCCGCAGCGCTTGCCGCTCCCCGCCCGCTGTCGCCCGCATTCACAAATGTGGTAGCTGTCGCGCTGGTGCCTTGCTGATTTCTGCGCTTTTATCTGCAGCAGTCAGTCGCTGCTGCTGTGACAAAGCAGAGCGCGGCCCACCAATTTATGGTCGAGCAACACGCGATTGGAAATCGAAGCGCGCCCGTAGCAGCAGCAAAAACAACAACAACAGCAACGTCATGGGATACTGCTGCGACTGCAAACTAAAAACTGTGACTGTGACTCTTTTTGTTGACGTGCTGCAATAAATTGGCCAGCATTCGGCGGCGCAATAAAAGTTGTTAGTTTTGCGCCAGCGTGTGAAAATATATACGTTATACATGTCTATATATGTAGGTATCTACATACATATACATATGTACGAGTATGTTTGTATGTACATGAATAGGCGAGGGTTGCTGCACTCGTTGTGTTACTGCCAGTTGGGTAAGTGTTAGGTCTTGCTCAGACGCATGTCAAATGTAACCCAACGCTCCTTAGCTTCAAGTTTTCCCAAGGCGGCCGTTCCGTTTCCTCATTGGCACTCCTATACTTTGAAAGGAGCGACTATACTTAAATTGATTTCGATAAAGAAAATTGTCAATCTCCCAAATTGATGTCTGAACTTACTCAATCCGCTGTACAAAAAATTATCTTTCATTTCAATATTCTTACTTTTTCTCAACTTTCTTTTTTAACTTCACTTTTTCATAACTGAAGATACATACTATACATTCCGTAAACATTGTTATAAACTAAAAATATTAGAAAGATGTAAAACTTCTGCACCGTTTACACACTTTCCATTTAACCAAAGACTATAAAGATTCGGAAAAATTCTGAGGAATCAGATGAAGGAAATACGGAAATACATCGGCTCAGACAATAGAAGCTAATAAGGTTCTCTTCAGGTATCGCACACAAGCTCAATAACTCAAAGAACAAACAAAACTAAAATGAAATGGCAGAATACCTTTAAGAAAATATATGAAGAAAATTATTTTAATGTGTTTAATTTTTATTTTTAAGAAAATAGGTGTTAAAAAATAAAAATAAATACATATAAATGTTAAGCATTTTAAATGAGCGCTGTCTCAATAATTAAGGTTCAACTGTATAGGAAAATGTTGGACCGAATGTAATTTTTTTTTAGTTCCAAGTTGAAGCAAGATTTTAAGATTCGAAAACTCTTTTAATTAACTTAAAAAAGAATTTGAAAAAAGCTAACAGAAAATATTAATATCTGGATCATATTCGGGCATTCATCTCCAGCAAAGGCTATAAACAGAAGCGTCGAATTTGAATACCCATAACCGATATTTTTTGCAGGAGCCATCTGGATCCCATTCGGGCACTCAAGTACTCTAATAAAACAGAAATAGAGTAGATTTTGTATTAGGATTTCATGAAGGAACCATCTGGCAGACATCTTTATTGAATGGTAAAAGGGGGAAAGAGTCAAATTTGAATACCAATAATCTATATTAAATGTCGAAAGCTGGATCCCATGCAGGGATCCATCTTCCAGTAACTACCACTTAAATGCTTTTACGATTACTTGCTACATATGTTACTATTTTAACGGATACTTATCGCACTTCAGAACTATTGTCTGTGTTTTTCAGTGATTTGCATTTTATGGCGCGGGCGTTGCTGGCGACCAACTAACTGTATCACCTGCTGTGACGGTTGTTGCATTGAAAAAAAAGGAAAGAAATATAAGTTCTGCTTTTACTACAAGTATAATTTCAGATGCCTAACAACGTAGAACGTACGAGAGTACTACATATTGTGAACACCTTTCAACCCCCTCTTTTACGGCTCGACGGTGGCAGTTTTTTTTTCACGCTATTTAAATGCCAACGCACCAGGCCAAGAAAAACATTTGTTAGGCTATTTACATATTTTCTAAATGAGTGTGCGCTGTTATTTGTTGTTGTTGTTCCAGCCATAACCACGGATATGACTACTCTATATACAAACTATGTGTGTGTGTGTGTGTGTGAGTTCAACCCCGGCGAGCGCAGTGAATTGCAACGAAGTCGTCAAAAGTCTTGCGCTTTTCCCCATTTTGCCAGCCACACAACTCGCAGTATTTCCATTTCCTACCCAACAACAACAACAACCACAGCGACAGCAAAGAACAAGAAGTAACAGCAGCAGCAGCAGTAGAAACGACAACAACAACAAGCACTTGGAAACGATGCCAGCCGTCAAACACTGAAACTAATTGATATAATAGTTAAAATAACAAACTAACGAGAAAGAAGTTGGCAGCAGCAGAGGAAAAAAGCCACACAAACCAAACGCGAGTGCAAAACCTTTCCAATTTGAAAATAGTTGCATGAGTGCCTGTGTGTGTGTGTTTGTACTCGTTCCCACAAATAACAACAACACCGACTGCACTAGCAATGCCTGCAATTGCAACTGCAACGAGTGGCGGAATCAAGGGAGATGACAATGCAACGATTAAAGCAAAGCAACAACAACAACAAGCAAAAGCACAACAACGCGCAGCACAACTTGAACTCTGGCCACTGAAGCTGCCACAAAGCCGCCCAGCAGCAACAGCAGCTGGAAAAATGCTTGCCCCAATGCGCGGCATTTCCGTTCGCCACTGCTGAGGTTGCTGCATTTGCAGTGCAACAACAACAGCAACACAACAGCAAAATAGTAATCACATTTATTAAATCAAAATAAAAGAAGATGCTGTACATATGTATGTACATACGACTATGGACGCGATACCATACTATGTATATGCACTCTATTAATGTGCACTACACTATTGTTGGTCTCTTTGCGAGCGTCAAATATTTAATTGCATTATAATATTTATATTATTATTGTATATTAATTATCAGTCGAGTTGTATTTTTATGCACATAGTTCATTTGATAAATAAATAAATAATGCAAAATCGAACAATTGTTAAAATCTTAGTTATTTCGAAAAGTATTTGAAGAAAACATTTTCTTCATAGATAAACTAAAAAAAAACTGTTATAACTAAAGAGGTGAACAGTCATGGATGGAAACATGCTACCTTAGTAATTTAGATTTTCATTATGTAATATTAGGAAACTTGTACATTTTAATTTTGTAATTATAATTTAATTTTTTACACTTCTATTACATATAATGTTAAGGTTTTTCTTTATTAATAAATTGTTAAATTTCAAAAAACGCTTTGTTTGAACTATTCTCAATGGAAATCATTTGCAAATGTTATTCGTCAAAAATGCATCGAAATGGAATTGTTAATTGTAAATATTATTGGACCAAGAGCTACATTAACTAAGTTTCTTACCATATTATTAAGAAAGAGCAACGCAACAACGGGGAAAATATGGCATTAAAGATTTCAAACTTTGAACTCATTTTAAACTGAGCGAGCAAAAACTTTACTTGCCTGTTGATCCCACTGTGTGTAGCTTTTGTTTTTGCGTTCTTTTCCAAAATTGCGAACAATAGGCAGTGCCGCTATTGCGAAAACAAATGGCTTACCATGCAGCGAGAATTCGAATTCAAACATTCTGCACATTTCTGTAATTACATGACAGCACACTAAATGCATCTGCCTAATACCTTTTGTAAATCCAAAATCTTGCAGGAGTTCACCCGCTACCCAAACGATCGTTTTGATTACATCAAAAGGACAAATTTTTGGCAAAACCTGACAACACTTCAATTTACAATGCAAATATTATGTACATATGTGCAATTTTAAAGAAAACATCGCTTAACGGGTCTTTCTAGTTCTTTGTGTCATGGCTGTCAGTCGTTAAAGCAGTGCTGCAAAATGCCAAGTGAGTACATTGTTCGTCAAGATAGCGTCGATGACTTTGCGGCGTTATTTTACTTTAAAATATCCCATTTAAATTCAAATCTTTTGCGCGCCCCTAACAGCCCGATTTAAATAAATAATATAAATCCAAGCTTTGAGCGTTGTGGCTCGGTCTGATTACAAGTACTCGACTATCAATAGTTGGATGGGTTGTCTAGCAAATAGTATCGAAACATAAAAAACCCCGCCAAGTTCAAATCGTTTTTCCCACGATTTGTCCGTTTTGCTTCGAAGCTGCTTACAGCTGAAATAACACAATTGATTTTCCACATTGTCTTATTTAGCTATTATATATTTTATGTTCAAAATCAACAGTAATCATAATATTATTATGTCTCATAAGATATGATTTAAATTAGTTGTTAGTTTTTTGTAGTAATAAATGTGGAGCGCGATATTTTAATATCACATTCGAATATCATAAACGAACGACTAATGCAAATGTTAATATGTTTAGCACTATGAAAGTAACTAAAAATAAATTAGCATGTTTGCAAAGTGGTGGAATGTGGAATAATTTTTCACTTTTGCACTTTCTCGTGACTAAGCGGATCAGTGAACATATAAAATTATAGATTACATGTGCATATAGCTGAATATACTCTCGTATGTAAATAAATAAAGCAACACATGTAATTATGACTACAATTTAACATTTGTTTTATTTCTATGGTTGTTTGCATGCCCAGTCTTACAAAAGCAAAAATAAAGCGAAAAATGCAATATCATGCGCCACTTCACAGCCCCACCTCCATCCAGCCAGATTCAAAATAGAGCTGCTGCAGTTACACGTTATATAAATAAAATTGTAGCATTACAAAGATTTTTGACCATGAACTGCTTACGCTTGATGTTCGCCTCTATGGCTATAACCTTCGCCTTAACTCTAGATCCATGGCGGGAGACGGTGATGGTTGTAATTTTTTGCCGCTCGTAAAGAGCAATTGTTGGTAGGAGAGTCGGAGAGGGCAGGAGGGGGGCGCATCGTAATGTAGGTAAGTGACCCATCAAAGTGGCGCGTATTTGTGCCACTGCCTTGGTCTTGGCTGTTATTTTTGACTTAAGCCACAAGTCTTGTTTTGTTTTGTTGGCCGTATTCACAACTTTTATGCGTCGACGTTGGCGTCTCTATTATTGTTGCTATTAACACGATTGTGGGCTTTTATGCTTCATTTTTTTTTTTTCACATTTTGCTTTATGTGCTCGACCAACTACCGCATTTCGCTTTAATTTCTTATTGGCGTCCGTCTCGAGTGGTTCGCGCATGCGCAAAAATTGATTTAATTTGAAAATGTTTTGGAACTCGTTGCTGTTGCTGCTGACGTACCGCATCGTCTGCACTTTGGCAGCAAATGAGTCAACAACAAGTGCGTGGAATGATATTAGAAATGCCTTCAGGGCTGTCACCAACGATAGCGAACTGCTCGATCATATAATACCGGAAATGTATGGCTCGACAATGCGAGATGCGAATCCAACCTTTGTCTTCAAAATGCCGTCTCAGCCAGACGACGGCCCCGCAGCCTTTGAAACTTTAACAATGCTCCGATCTGATTTTGAGGAACCAATATTTCCAAATATAACACAATTGACGACAGTCGTTGGCACGTCCGAGCAGGTGGCACATGTGAAGACCGGTCTGCCGGAGGCACCACAAGGTCAGTGGTTGCAGCTGGGTCTGGGCGGCTGGACGGGAGAAATAATACGACCCGTACCCTGGCTGGAACAGAGTCACAAGTGAGTAGAAAGATGGGGCGTGCCGTTATTGTCCAATATTTCTGCTGCTTGATCGGCAGAGACAGTCAGCCTTCCAACTGGCAGGCAAGCTATCCCCGCGAAGAAATACTACTGGATCTGAAGAGTTCGCACTTTGACGGACGTGTCACGGATATACGAGTTATCACCGGCCAAACAAATGCTAACGAGGCCGAGCTGGAGGATCTGATGAATGCCGAAAACGTTTATATAGCACGCGTCAATGATCCCTTCGGCTATTCTATGAAGTGGACGCGCAGGTATGTAAATAGTTTGAAGCGTGCATAGGATTTTGAAGAATAGACATACTTTTTCAGGCGACAACTTTTATTATAATCTGTAATATGTTCGTTATAAGATATCTGTTTATGATCAGCAAAGACTTGTCCGTCTGTATGAACCCTGATTACTTTTAAACCATAACAGCTAGGGATATCAAACTTTTTATGTATACTTGTCTAATTACACGGGAAGCAATGGAATAAATAGGATAGCGCGCTGCTCATGAAGATTATACCTAGAGCAAATCTTGTGTTTATGCCTAATAATATTCTGAAGTTTGTTCAAAATCGGTCAATTAAAACATATAGTACATACCTGTAGGTGCACTGAGACTGATTTCAACGACAATGTTTACATTATTTGAAAAGCTGTGGTGAGAATAAGGGTCATGGCAAAGCCCCGCTTAATTAATTTTGATTTCAATCGAGGAAAAAACGTCTCTCTGACAAATATAGAAATTATGAACTTACCTAATAATTAATTGGATGCTTAACTTCGTTAGTACTATTTTTCCACAATCAGACCCCAGGCGCAGCTATTCATTAGCAAGAAATTTGCAAATGTGCTTACTGTGGGGGACAGTCGGCGACAATACATGAAATCACCTTCATCCATAATACTACTTGTACTTGTATTTTATTTGTTAAAGTGACACTCTCATATGATTTCAGCAATACGACCGAAGAACTAGCCACCGCTGATCGTGGAAAACGCGATGTAGCCAAACTGTACTCAATGATCAAGTGTTCCACGGGCTGCGATCCCTTAATATTCAAAGGCTATGGCTGCTATTGCGGCTTTGGGGGCCATGGGGTGCCCTCCGATGGCATCGATCGCTGTTGTCGAATGCATGACAAATGCTACGAGCAGAGCAACTGCATCTCCTATCTGGAATACTTTGTGCCATATGTGTGGAAATGTTATCGTGGCAAGCCACTATGTGCCGTAAACCATGGGCAGTGGGGTGGTCCAGATTCGTGTGCGGCACGCTTGTGTCAATGCGATTTGCGCCTCTCCCGTTGCCTGCGGAAATTCTATTGTCCGCGTAAACGCGCCATTTGTTACTCATCGAGAGCACGTCGCTTACAGAATTTGATATTCTTCGATTAAGTTTGAATATAGAAATGTTAAGGTTAAGTTTATTGAGTCTTTTGTTTGTTATTTTTTAATTTTGTGTCTTAGAATAGAAGTTCTAATGATGACGTTGACTCTTGCGGGAACCACTACGGGCCTTATGAACGCCGTGTTTCTCCCTATCCATTTTCATGCCAGATGTTTCGGGATGAGCCGCAAGCTCCTTGATTGCCTGACAATCCTGCAGAAAGAGCCGAGCCGTTTTATAATGCGACATTTGTGGCTTATAAATGGTTAACAGATTCTGGCACATCAGCAGAATATCGCGATGCAATTCGCTAAGACTGCGTATCGCGCCGGAGTCGATGTTACGCTTGATGGTGGGCAAGTCCATGGGCCGCAGGCATAGCTCGGAATATTTGTGCGCATGCTCGTCGTGGAAGGCTCGTCGAAATGGTGCTGCATGTTTGCTTTCGTTCAGCGTGCTGTAAATGGTCAGGAATAGCTTTTTGGTGGCGGCACGTGTCTCCCTACGATCGTCTGTGTGCTCGCTAGATGCCGGCGAATTTGGAATGCTATCTATCAGCGGCGTTGAGGAGCAGCGTCGACGCGCATTTGTCGTCTTCGCCGTCGAATGATCGCTTGCCGTGGCCATGTCATCATCAATCATGGGACTCTCGGATCGATCGCGATGCGGCAGCTTGCGTAGCAGTGGCGGTCGGGCAAGCGCGCCTGGCGGTTGTGGAATAACATGAGCGCCACTTCCACTACCCGACGGTTCCGCTTCAGTTTTTGGCTCTACAGTAACTGACTCTCGACTCGGCATTTTTGGTTGCTTGGCATTGCGCGTAGGCTCGTCCTGTTTGCTGCTATCTGTGAGCGAGGAATATTCTTCATCCGTGTCATGTACGGAGATTGTGATCGTAGCTTTGGGTTCCATCGTTGCTGCATCCGGTTTGACTTTATCATCAATTTTCAACTCTTCCTTTATGCCTACAAAATGAAAAGGTTTCTTTTTTGTATTTGTTTTACCATTATTCTAGGTTTACTTACCTTCTTCTGTTGTCGTTTCCTCAATGATAGCCCCTTCAATTGTGTCTTCAATTGGGGTTGGAGTCGATTCACTATGTCCCTGTTGCGGTTTTTCCGCCTCAGTTTTTTCTGTAGCTATAGCCACTTCCGGGGGCTGCTCCGATTCTTTCTCAGCTATTGATGCTGCCTTCTCCTGCTCGATACGTGCAGTCATCTCCATTGCAACATTTTCGTTAGCCTCCTCCACAGGCTCTATAGTAGAAACTATTTGTGACGTTTCGTCATCGTTTTGACTCTGCATTTGACTCTCTTTGCTCTCCTGCGAGGCCACTGTGGCTAATGGTATGTTATCGTTTGAATCGTCGCTGGAGCCAATTACCACTTCAGTTGGTTTTGTAACGCCCGTTTCGTTGCTATCACTCGTCCCGTCAGCTCCTGGAGCTGGTGAGCTGGCAGCCGTTTGGCCGCGCTTAAGTGAATCTAATTTGTCCTCGAAATCAACCACTTCGGGCTTGTCATTGGGGGACGCAGTCTGTTCAGCCTCATCAGCCACGTCCTTTAAAATATCCTCATCAATAACACTGGACATGTCGATATCGATGTCGTCTATAATGTCATCGATGTTCTCGAAGACTTGCAGCAGCTGTTGCTCCTCATTTGGATCAGTTTCGTCCGATTGGGAGTTGGTGCTATTTGGTATTGCACTTTCTGAGCTGGACTTTGCATTCATTGCTGGCTGCTGCTGGGAACTGACCTCTGTATCTGTAGGCTGTGCCGGCTGTTGTGCCGTGGACGAAGTCTCACTAGATTTCATGGCTTTGTTCTTCTCCAACAACATGGAAAGCGTGGGCGCTGCCTGCGATGGACTTGGGCCCGGCGTACCTGGTGTAGTTGGTGTGTGCGCCTCGACTGTGGGAGGTCCACTGATAGGCCTTGTAATAAACGCGCTATCACTGGCATTCTTGAGCGTAATAGCTGGCTGATTGGATATGGCGCTGGTGCCGCTGGTGAGCAGCGTTGTAATTGTTGGGGCTGTAGCACGTGCCACGCTGCCAGCTCCTACTGCCGGCGAATGCACTGGGGACACTGCAGTTGGTGCTGCTGTTGGTGATTTCAGCAACGACGTTAGCAGCGGTGAGGGTAAGGCACTTTTGTTGCTGGTCGTCGAACTTGTGCTGCTGCTGCTCGCCGCAATCTCTTCCACATCCATGTCCACCGAGGTGGTATCCGTTGCAGAGTTGTTGCGTCTGGCTGCAGTGTTACGCCAGCTTATAGCCATTTCTTTTTTGCGTTGTTCTCGCTCCCGCATGCGATTCTCCAGCTTCATTTCATCAATACGTTGCGTCTCCTGCTGATTCTCCACCTGTTGCCACATCTCCTGCAACTCTTGCTCCGTAATGTCGTCCGATTGCAAAGCCTCAATTTCGCGGAACACCTTACAATACTCTTCCTGATCGCGACGCATTTGCGCCTTAATCTCAGCCATGCGTTCTTCGGTCAGACGGCGTAGCAACAACTCCGTTGGTGGCTCAATGGCCGGCGAGGATACTCCACTTTCGCTGCTTCGCTTCTTACGCTTGGTAGTTTCAACGCTTTCCAACAGGTGTCCATATTGCACAGCGCAGTTTTTCTGTGAATACCAATCGGGAGTCGCCCCATTGCCGCAGACGGTCTTGAGCGTGCGACTCACTGTGATCCAGTTTTGATCACCGCTGCAGGACACTGCCGATGCCAAGCACAATTGCTCGCGTTTCGACCATTGGTCGAGCGGCATGCGACTCATTTGCAAGCGATCTTGAGCCAGCGCCGACATAGAACTTGTTTATTAATCCGTTGTTTTTGCGGAAAATTTGCGTCTGCCGACCTTAGTGATGTGTAATTAAAAAAAAGTGAATGTGGTATCGATAAATAAAATACCAATAGCTTCGCAAATTTATAAATTTTTTGTTGTGTGTTTATCGGCACACGCTCGTCGGTACCTTGACGTTTTATTATATTTGCCTTACTATTGCTATATTTTTTGTTGTCCGAAGCATTAAATAGTGCGCCAAATTTTCGTTTCAATTTTAATTAGTATAGTGTACTTACATCAAATCTCCAGCTGCAAAGATATATTGGCCTTTTATTTTTATTAAACGGGCAGTCTGCCAAATTTTTTATACATAGCTGGTGCCGGTAAAAAAAAAGACGAACAGCCATGGTACGTATTCGCGATCCTGTTGCATTCGTTCCTTAATTAGTTTATATAATCATTTCAGACCGCCAATGTTGATGATTTGGTGTCTGAAATGACGCACCTCAGCATTGAGAGAGCGCTCAGACATGCCGCTGTGGTCTCCCTTACATGTAAAGCTGAACGCACACTGGGTCCGGATCGGCCGACATGGACGGAGCAGTTACATTCACAAAAGAAAAGTAAAGACTTGCCACCACCAGTTTCTGCTCCTAAAACGAAGCCCGAATCAGAACCAGCGCCGAAATTGGCCGTAGTGAGGCCGTTGACGCCGACTCCTGACGACTTTCCAGACATAAATACGCTCAACAATAGCATTGTTAAGCGGGAACTCGCCGAACAATGCAAGCAGAGTGTTCGCAATGCACTCACTGCTCTTCAACAGCAGCGCCAACAGTTGTCTACCGAAAAGGAACGAAGTGCCATGGAGCTCAATATAGAAATTCAGGAAGAGCGCTCTAAGCGCTTGGCATTGAAAAAACAAATGGACTTGCGCATCGAGCAGCAGGCCGAGCAACTGGCCAATGCCCAGCTGGAGGCGGATAAGCGGGAGCAGGAAGCTTTGCATAAACAAACAAATCAGCTGTTGCACGACCTTTCGTTCGAGGGTGTGGCGCGTTACCAATTAAAGTTTCGTATGAAGTACGAAGGTATTGCCAAGGTACTCATGGCACTCGATAAGGAGACGCAAAAGGCCTGTGGCGCCCATAACCGACAATTGAGCAGCTTGGTGCAAATGTTCGACAATCTAATAGGCCAAATAAAGGCCGGCAACTGCGGGCCGCAGGAACTCATGTCGGCGGAGCAATTTTGTCACTCTTTGGATGAAGTGGAGGACAAATTCCACAAACAGCTGAAGGAACTGTCTCAGCAGCTGGCGCATCGACAACACCAGCTGAAAGTGGATGAGGCAAACAAAGCTAAACAATTGGCAGAGGAAAAACAGCGCGCGGAACATGAGGAGCAAGTGAAAAAGGAGCAGGAGTTTGAGGCTCAAAAACAAAAGGAACAGCAGCAACAACAACAGCAGCAACAACAACAGCAGCAGCAACACCAACAGCAGCAGCAACAACAACAGCAGCAGCAACAAGAGGCTTCAATGGCAGCAGCAGCCCCTGAGGCGCCACCAACAGGCATGACAACAACAACAATAGATGGCAACAACACAGCAGCCTCATCGGTACCTTCAATATCTACCACATATGTCCACCCCACACGCCTTGCTTTCTCTACTGATATCAATAACTTTTATCAGATCAAAGTAGAGAGCGTTAAGCCACTGCAAACGGATGAGGCATGGAAAAAATATCGCACGAATTGCCAGCGTGCTATTAACGTGCCGCTTAATGCCATCACAGCCGTCAGTGCGCAACACTTGACACTAAATTTTGAAAAATTATTGAACTTTTTCGCCGGCCAACCCGTCAAGACGACAGATGGTAGCTCCATAACCATCAATGATCATCCGTTGGCACGCGATTATTGTGTCCTGTTGATGGCCAAGAAATTTGTCAGTCAAAGTGAGACGGCAATTTCGAGTAATCCACAAGCGGCATTTCCTTTTGCATCTGTGATTGTAACATTTTGGAAACTACTGCCTGATTTTGGCAAAATATTTTTAGCGTACATTTACAAAGAATCACCGTATTTGATACCCTATATAATGCCACAGCTGCAGGGACAGACACCAGAGCAATATCTCAAATCCATTGGATACAGACTGTCTGATAAGAACGAAATAGAGAAGCCCGATATGTATCTAAAGCGCCAGACCGGCCTGGCACGCCTATATGCGGCCGTTATTATCACACCGGGAAGGAAAGTAGACGGCCCAGCACATCCGTTTGGCATTGAGGAGGCCTGGCGATGGCTGACGCATATCTTACAGGTCAAGCCACTGCCCGACATTTGCGCCACGATGATTGTGGAGATGCTGCAGACGCTGGGCTTTGAATTATGGCGCACTTACGGACGTCAATTTCTTAAACTTCTGTTGTACATTCAACAGCAATATATACCATTATTGACGGCCTATGTTGAGGGCGGACCAAAGACACGCCTGGAGATGCTTTTGGCGAAGTTCTTGCGCGAGGGGCAGATACCTCAGGCCGTGGGCATCCTACCGCCCGGCTTTTGGTAGCATGTATTGTTTGTGTTTTTCGGTTAAGTAAATTTATATTTCTTGTAATTCTACCCAAAGGTAGTGTTTATTAAACAATTTTTATTATTAAACGTTCTTTTAACATGTATAGTAGTTTTCCCAAAACTTAGGTCGTCTAATACCATTTTGTTGAAAATGTCCATAAGCCTAGTGACAAGCCGACTAATATCAAACGCATTACAACCAGGTATTGTGTGTTAATGAGTTCTGCGTGATGGTCTCTACAAAATAAGGGACGGATCGTTCTTGTCATTTTAATGAAACAGTACTCCGATTAGTGGATTGTAGTTTATAGCTTAGGAAACAAAGAAGTTACTAAGCACATATGTATGTACGTAACACCGTTGAATTATATTTTCCTAATTGGTTCTAGACTAGTATAATCCAAATATCAAAGAAAAGCTCCACTGACCAAAAAAGAACCACATGTCTTCCGTGTTTAGATATTTGCCTTCGTTGCTAGCAACAATTATCCCCAGTCTACTGTTAAATTATTTCCATTATTTAAACACAATTGTTGGGCTCCATTAACTAAAATGCGTTTTAGATTTCTTCTAATACCTTTAAGAACTTATAGTACAACTATTCCCTTGCCTTTGTTTAACGTCCATGGTAGAACTACATGTTTAAAAAAAAAAATGTAACAAAAATGCGTCCTCGTTTACTTAAAAATATACAATCAAACATTAAAACATGATCCATTTGTTCCACCTGAAGGCGTTTCAAACATTGGTAATTGTGCCGCGCCATATCAAAAAATATCGATGCAAACTCGAAAGCTTACGGTAGAGCTGTCAAAAGAAAAAATCGAAATTGGGCTTACTCGTCAAAAACAAATCGCATTTAAATTGATTAATCGGAATACATGCTTAACAGAAGAGTTTAACAATAACATTAAAATACATTTAACAGATCAACAAAAGATTTAATTGTTTTTAAAGCAAATTACTATATAATATGATTGAGACAAACATATATACGAAATTCATTGAATCAATTATAGATCAAATTAAAATTCACAGAATTCAAATATAATTAATAATATTAATCCAAAATTATTTTTTGATAAATATCAATTTATCGATAATTTAAAAATATCGAACTAATCGATTCTGAACTTTCTAGCTCATGGTCCCTACGCCAATTATTAGTTATAAATTCCGATTCTAAGGCAAGCGCGTGGATTTAGCTCGGCTTTTGAAATGGAACCAATTTCGCATCTTATAAAGCAAAGTCTGCCCAATTACCTATCCAGCTTACCGATTCCCGATACCATCGGAGGCTGGTTTAAGTTATCTTGTGAGTGTCCAATTAGAACGTAAAGCGCCCTAGATACATTTATATGCTCCGAGTGAGACGTAGCTTTGAAAATGTCTGTTTATATGTACATATATAAAATGTGTACATGTAATAGAACCTAAAAGCTTAAAGGTTATGGTGCGAGGTGCAATTTCAATGCACACTGTACAGAATTCCAGATACTGGCCCCTCAGCTATTCTTCAAACTATTATGCAACAACAAATATTGCTGTTTCGTTGTTTTTGTTGTTTTATGTCAGACAACAACAAACAAAACGGACCCCTATTTTTTATCGGCTTGTTAATGAGCGAGATAAACCAAATTTAATTATTGAGGTGAAAGTAGTGTAGTCTCGAATGTACACGAAACTATTGTTTTATAAATTCCTTTATTTTTACAGTAAAGGATTGGCTTGCGCTCATTCCGCCTACAGCCGTGGTTGCTGGCATTGGCTATATGAGCTATTTGGCTTTTTGCCCAGCTGCCCAGGGCAGATGCAGCGCAAGGAGCGGTCGTGTCAATAATTTTGTAAAAAAACATGAGGCAAAGGTTGTGGATATGATCGATGTGGAGGATATTGCTGAGAAGGTGGCCCTTTGTCGTTGCTGGAAAACCAAGTCGGTAAGTGGCCCCTTTTACTCCTCTGATGAGGTATATGTATGCATACTCTCGAATGGTCCGGCTGTGAATTGGGTTTTATTGGTTTGGGAGTTTTTCTAACACTGCTTGGACTGGGCACAATGCAATAAAGAACCAACAACTTTATGTGGGTTCACACTATCAAAGAGACTTAAGACAGTGAGTGACTTGATAACGACCACAGATAACATCTAGAAAAAATGAATGGAAAGAGTCGAGTGGGCTCGACTCTTAAATACCTTGTATTCACTCCCACAAAAACATTTTGAAGTTTTCTTTTTGATTAAAATTAAACTAATTTAATAAAATGAATGTAATCAAAAATACAAACTCATCCTTTCCCGGACTTGGCAGACTCTGGAAACCAAGTTTGGTTATTCTAGCTCTTTTACTTTCTGAGATCCTTACGTTAATACAGACGAACGGACACATATATGTACTTTCTGCCCCACCTCTTCGTGTTACATACATTCGCATGAAACTAGTATACCCTTTGGCTACAGGGTACAAAAATGGGGCAATAGACGTTATCGTTGTGAGGCTGTATAACAAAGTTGTCGGTCAATTGGATTCTTGATCTAACCATCTTTAGTCTGGTGCAATACTAATTAACAAAGAATAACCTAAAAATCTGTATAATCTTTTTATTTATTTTTCTAGTGGCCCTATTGCGATGGCAGTCATGGCGAACACAACAAATTGACGGGAGATAACGTGGGACCTGTTGTCGTAAGGAAGTAAAACATACTGCTTTTAAAATTAGCATTTGTTGAAGTTTTCTAACAAAAAATTCTGTAACTAATTTACCCAGAGCTCATTTATAATTTGCCTTTAATGATGCTTCAAAATTGTAATCAATTGCTAGTTTAGTAAAATCCGAAATCTATTCTAATGTAACTTTAAAAGTGAAGCCAATAAAATTGCCGAAATGAATTGAATTCATTGGAAATTTAGTTTAATGCAAAACCAATTTTAGTTTATATAAATTATGTATTCCTGTTGCAGGCTGTTTATGTATTTCGTTGAAATTACAAAACAAAATTCAAATACAAATGATTACAAAAAGAGAATTAGAAAGCCGCATTCGAAACTGCAAAAAGGGCAGCTGGACGTCGATGACTGCTAACGACGATGTCTTTTTGTTTAAACATAATTACTATCAGTTGGATAACTTAGGAATATAGACATCGTTCATTCGTCGTGCATTATGAATCTCAAAATTTTTATTGTTTTTGTTTTCTAATTTTTGCGAGCGTTGGCGGCAATGATGTTTAGCTTATTTGAAAATCTTGCCCTGGTTGAATTTGCGGCCATTTTTATCGGCACCGGCCCAAGAGAAGTATTGAGTGACGAGCTTTTTGGTTTCCTCGCTCTTGGGATCAAGCTTCTTCCAGTCGTAAACTTCGTAGTCTACCTGCCAGTCGGGCGACAAGGTGAAGGCAAGATCCTGTCCACGCCACACCCACACGCCAGAGATGGTGCTGTTATTGTCCTCGCCGAAGAGGCACACAGAAGCAAATGCCTGTTTGCGCATCTTGTCCAGACGCTGGAACATGCCGGTGATGAGGTTGCAGGACATGAATACTTTTTGCAGTTCATCGTTGTATTTGTACTCGCCAAACCAGATGGAATAGTTCTCGGGATCGAACTTTTCAAAGAAGTAGGGAATGGACTTCTCCTCGGCCTCATTAGAGTACACACGCTTGAAGTCATCGAAGTTGAAGGTGCCCTTTGGCATGGCATCGAAGGGATCCTTGGATTTGGGCTCCAGAGCCAATGCCTCATCAGCGGCATCGAGTTCCTCAGCGGGTTCATCCTTCTTCGCTTCCTTCTTCTCCTTGGGCTTCTTTTCCTCCTTTTGTTTTGGCTGCTGTTGCTGCTTGCCGCCGGTCTTGGCCTGGAATTCGGCATACTTCTTCGGATCGAAGACCAACGCCTTTTCGCAGATCTTGAAGTCCTTGACAACAGCCTGAACCTGCGGCTGGTTCAGAATGGTAACGAACCAACGGTTCAAATTTCCAAATGCACTGCGCACGCTTGGCTCCAGAACGTACTCATACAAATGCAACAGGCTGCTGAAGACGACAATGTCGGCCAGGCTGATGCGTTCGCCGGCCAAGTAGGTGACATCGAGCAATTTCTTGTTCAGCAGCTCCAGCACGACGAGCGCGTCCTGTTTGGCAGTGCTGTTCTTCTGCTGAGGCAGAATACCCAATAATGGGAACACCCATGCGCAGGAGGCAGGCACGATTTCATTGTCAGCAAAGGAGACCCATTGTTGCACCTGAGCTTGGACAAAGGGGCATTTACCACCACGCAGCTGCTCGTTAGCCACATAGTATGCGATGGCATTAGACTCGCTCAGGTATTTGCCATCGGCGGTCTCGAATGCTGGCACCTGTAATTTGCACACGCGACACAAAAAGATTAAAATGCCGATAGTGCGTGTTGCTGACGTAGCAGCCGGCCAGACCAGCCCACACCTAATACCAATAATTACTTACCTTTCCGCTGGGGAACTTCTTTAGGAATTCCGCCGATTTGTTGGTCTCGCCAAACTTAAAATTATCGGCCACTTTTACCTTTGCGCCTGAGTACTGGGCAGCAATGAGTGCCTTGTACGCGCGGAAGTTTTCGGGATAAGTGTAAAGAGTCTGTAATTAAGAAATGTGACAACAAAAGACCATCATTAACAAGTACTACAATATTTGACGAACAAAATATGCTATCATTTGCAATTAAATGCTATCGGATGTATTCGCAATTTGCAAATTTAAAAAAATTACTTACTCCAGTCGCCATCGTGATTTGCCGGAGAGAAGGAAAAAGACAGCGCGGCTAGCGATGTAATAAAAATCGATGCATAAAAAACATCGATATTTTGAAATATTTTTCGAAAGCACGGCATATCGTCTTTGCATAGATGTTTTTAAAAACATCGAGCCAGCTCCAACTTAAAATATAGGGACGGAAATTTAACGGAAATGTAAAAATTCGGTGACGCGACGCAATTTTCACCCAAAAAAATAAATATAAAAATTCTACTTGTTGCTATGCAGGTATTAAGCGTTAATATAAATGTAATATATCTATATGAATATATCTCTTAAAAAATTAACTAACAAGTCCCAAATATGATAAAGAGAGTGATATTGATTAATTTAAAGTATAATTCACAGGTAAGTCATATTTTTTAAATTGCAATATTTTGTTGGTTGATTTAAAACAATTAATAGTTTTTTGCAAACATTATACGATTAAAATTTCAAAAGCCTAATTTGCGATCATTACAACATTTTTTTAGATTACCAGTTTACAGGAGTATTGTAAGCTTGGCCTTTAGTGCAAGTTTAAGAAGTCGTAAAATTACATGCAAAACAAAAACTTTTACATATTCAGCTATAGTTTTGTAATTTTGGGCTGGTTGCTATATAAATGTCATTAACACTGCTTTCATAACTGTCTCGGTATTCGCCCATCACTACAAGGGATGTGACAAATCAGAAGATTTGTGTGTTGACAAACGAGTGTAACGCCGTTCATTGAGTAGGTGGCCTCGAAGTCTGCGTTTTGGGTCATCGATAGCGTTTTTTTACATCCCTATACGAATGCTACGCGCAGAATTTTTACGCGATTTTCTGCGTTTAATTTATAACAATAAAAACAGTTTAAAACATAATATAAACGTGTAAGTGGAACACTTTGGAAACAATTTCAAGTATTTTTTGAACAATTTGTTCAAACGGTATTTACAAATGTTGAGCGTTAGAGTGAAAAAGTGAAAACTTGAGTGGCCTAAAGAAGAGGAAGCAGACGTGTTTGTGTGTGTTTGCGTGCGTGTGTGTGAGGCAAGGAGAGATGAAAAAAAAAAATGAAAAACCGTGAACAAGCTACACACATTTTAAGCAGCAGACGGCATTAATATGCCAATTTATTAATATAAATTGTTTATATTCGTAGCAGCGTTGAAAGGCACCGCGCACTGCCCGCAAATGTTCGCCTATAAATATGTGAGTTACATTTAAAACTGCAGCGCCTAGAAACGGACTTCCAAAAAAAAAAGGAAAAAACTGCCATTGAACATCTCAAGCTCGCCACGCCGCAAACCGATCTGCATTATCTAACTGAAAAACTGTTAATTTGATAAATACATTTTGCGATTGTTGTTGCTATTTTTGTTGATATTGTTGCTGCCCCTGCGCTTTCTATTATTTACAATTAGAAGCATAGCCAACCCAAGCGGGGTTATTTTTTTTTTTTTTTTTTTCTCAGCAAACTACAACCGTTTGTCGCTGCTTGTGTGTGACATGTGACCTTCGTTACAGCAACAAAATCAATAACAATATAGTTAACGTTCACTCTTTCTGCCTTGCATTCACCGGCAGTCCGTCGGTCCGTCTGTCCATTTGTCATTCAGTGAGACTGCCTGACCGTGATTGTATGTTTGCTCGTATGTACGCCCCACCAAACAATCAAAAAAAAAAAAAAAAAAGCACTTGGCTCACCTGCCCACCTGTCGCCCACCGGCAACGCAAGTTTCGCTTTACATAATAAGCCGAATGACCAAATACTAACTTGTTAAACAATGGCACAAATATATATTTTTTTCGTCATGGATTTCTTTGTACTCGTAGATTGCGCTTTCAAAAGGGTGCGATAAGAGTAATAAATGCGCAAGCATGTGATTTAAGGCCGGCTGACGCATAAGGAGGCACTGCTAATCACTTCTCGAATTGATTTTATATTCGAATGACCAAACATACGTATAGACCTGGGCAACATGCGCACTTGTTATCAAAGCTATGATATAAATTGCGAGGGAAGTTTATAAATACACAAAGCTTATTCGCGTTAAACATTATATACTTATAAATTATTTGCTTCAATAAAAGTGATTGAATGTATCATGTTCTTATCAAATTAAAAGTAACTTAATAGCTCATACAATTTCGTGTTGTGTCAAGCGAGCTTGTGATATTCGTTTGCGTTTTCTGAGCCAACGTGGTTATCCCACACCTTTGAAAACATTGTGTTGATAATTTTTTCCGGAAGAAATGTCCACCAATCATACGTTTCTGGTATTGCAGGATAATGAAAGATGCACGAATATGACGTAACTGAGCTAAAAGAGGAACTTGACAGTCTTCCCGTAAACGAAAACTACAATTATATACAAACAAAAACATTACCGCCGCGACCAGCAAGACAACTTGAAGCTTCCATCAATTCAGAGTCGCACAAGAAGGATATAAAAACTAATTCTATACAACAATTTGATGATATTATCATAATAAGTGACACAGATAGTGAGCAAAAGGACGATAAAGACTCAGAGAAATCATCCTCTGCCTATAAGGCCATATATCCTGTAGTTGAGGAATATACCGACCAGCTGCCAATAGCTCACCTACCTTCCAAAGAGGAAGCGCCAAAGAACGCTGCTGCGGCAGTCGAGGGCGAAGAAGAGGTAGAAAAAGCATCGCCAACTAAACGCAAACGAACACGTCGGGTATATGTAGCGGAAGAATCGCGTTGTGCCAGCCTACGCTCAAGGAAACCCCCACAAACAGAAGCAACAGACATTACAGAGCAAACATCGAAAGCTAAGCTAACGCGTCAAACAACACCATCGCCAACACCATCAGAATCTAAGGAGCAGAAATATATTCAGTCAGGTAATTAAGCAACAATAAAAAGCCGTGCAGATATTTAGTTCCTTGTGCTCGGCAGGATAAATGCATATAACGGGTAGAGAAGCTAAAGTCGGGTGTTCCGACTTTGAAATACTCTGTGCATATGTGTGAAATTATTATTATAACTTCCTGTTAAATCGGCTTATCATTTTGAAACTTGGCATACGGACTATATAATAATAATAACTACAAGTATATTTTCTGAATTTAAATGAAAGATTCCAAGAAATACGGGAGTTATAGAAAATCACTAATTGCGGGGAAGGGAGGAAAATTCAAAATTCACATTTTCCGCGTATTTACATAAGTGTCTGGGGCGAAAATGTTGTGTCCCTAACTTATGGTCTCTGTGATAGGGGGAAGAGGGGGGAAATCAAAAAAATAAAACGAACTCGTATGGCGTACGCACATAAGGCATCTTTGTGTAATATTTGGTGTCTCTATCTCTTATAGTATAGTCTCTGAGATCCAGGTCTCCTCGTCTTGTCATGCTGAATATATATAGAATAGAATATACTATTTTTCACCTCCCGCAAACCAATATACTCTTATACATGAAAAGTACTCTCTTTGTCAGTGTTTCATTCATAAATACATAAAATTGTAGAATCGAATACAAAACAATGACCCCAAAAAAAGCATGTATTGGTAAAAAAAAAGAACCACAAAACAAGGTGAGCGAAAAAAGAACAGCTGGAAATGCCGATGAATCTGAATCACGTTTGCAAGATCTTCGCGAAAGGGTGTCTAGAGCCATATAAACGGAACAAGAATGGGAGTCGCGACTTCGGCAAATGCGCGAAAGGGCATCTACATCTAAAGCCATAGAAATAGGAACGGAACAAGAACGGAACAAATAAATTTATTCATCAACGTGTCTGTATCAATCATTACTCCATCCTCAGTTTAAAAGAAAAGTAGTCCTTTTCCAACTCTAATATTATATTGTTAATAATGTAAATTTGTTAATATAACAATGTGGATTAGATCAATATAAGACAGGTTATAATTTCATATCAAATAACAAAAATATTAGTTGGAAGGTAATATCTTTTTCGAATCAGTTTATTTATCTGCACTGGATTATGTTGTCTCTTCTAATTGCCTATGGAAGTATTTCTAATAAAATTTTTTCCCTCACTACAGAGCAATTTAAGCCGGAGTTCTGGAATTTAATTGATACGCTTGAGGAGCCGGAACCTAAGCCTTCTCGTAAAAGAGCCCGAGTCTTTGGTGGAAGGCAGAAAAGGAAACGGACTGCAATACCACCACTCGATACGGTCTACTCACCGGAAACAGCGGCGGCCATTAAGGCGGCACAGTTGGAGCTTGAATCACAGAAGCCAATTGGACGTAGCGCTAGGAAGCGTACGGCCACCATGTCTCTGTACGACCGTCGTTATCAAACAACCGATGAGCGACGCGTGGGCAACGGTTATAATAATAGCAATTCATTGCGGTCGGGTACTATGACTGATGCAGACACACAGGATATTACTAGCAGCAGTCACCAGTATTATGTTCCCTCAGGGGGGAACAGTGCAAGTGGCTCCAATGCCGGTCAAAATGGCGCTGTGGCCACCCTGAGTCATGCACCAGCGATGGGCACCTTGTGCAATATTGGCAACACTTGCTATTTAAACTCTGTTGTCTATACCCTACGCTTTGCGCCCCACTTTCTACACAATCTGCACCATCTCATCCAGGATTTGAATGTGGTGCAGCATACCATCTCGCGTCAGCACAACGCAAAGTCTGCGTCGCTAGGCAGAGGTGTGAGCGGTGCTCATTTGGAGAATGCACGCAGCTGGAGTATCAAGGATTTGGTCAATAGCAATAACACCAATAACGCCTTGGAGCCGTATAACAATAGCAATGGCAGTGTCAGTGGTCAGACTAACTGCAATACCGTTTTGAGCAAATCAAGCCATCAGTCCGTGACTGAGAAACTGCACGAGCTCTATCACAGTCTCCATGGCAATGAGATGGCCGAATCCACAGAACCCTACCATGCAGATACATTGTTACATGCCATACAGGATGTGAACGCCACCTTTGAGGGTAATCAGCAACAGGATGCGCATGAATTTCTAATGTGTGTACTCAATTGCATACGCGAGACAAATCAGTCGCTCATTAAGGCCATTGCCGAGTGTCCTGATGTCATCGCAAATGGGTAAGTGTGAAAACAGACGAAGAATGACGGTATTTAAAAAGATTTCATAAAAGAAAATATATATGTATATACAAATACTTTTTTTTATGTAATCATTATAAATATATATATTTTACCCAAATTGATTGAAATGTATACTTTCAGTATACAAATACAAATATTGTTCATCTTCAAAGAGTTATGAAAACATTAGATATCAGAGGGTGAATTGTATATAATGTAATAATTGTGCATGAAAATATCCCAATGTTGTACCAAATCAGTTGAATATATAATTGTTGTACATACATATATACATTCTGATCAATATTATTTTATTAATTATTTGCTTTTACAGCTATATTGCAAATCCAGATGAAACTGACTCCAACGATATGCAGGATCGCATGGATAGCAGCACTGCCTTGGCACTGAACAGCGGTGGCAATGGATCTCTGCCAACTAGTCATAGCACATCGACAAAAACGTCGTTTTTCTCTAGAAAATCAAAACGAAAAGATGAGGTGAAATCGTCAAAGAGCACGCGACTGCAATCGCCGCTGAAGGACAATCTCAGCCCCACGGCAAATAGCTTAACATCAGCGCCGGCCTCAAATAGTCTCTTCTACTTGAATACAGTTGATCTCAGTGGCCTTGGCGGCGCAGGAGCCACCAGCATTCCGACACCGCCAGCGCCTTCGTTGCCGGCCAAATACTCCAGCGATGATGAAGTTAATACGGTTAGTCTGCTGAAGGATAAAATGCGACTGGAGGAGCGCATACGGGAGCTGAACTTGAATTTCTTTAGCTCCGACTTTGAGGGCGTTGTGGTGCTAACCACAAAATGTCTAAGCTGTGAAACAATTACACGGCAAAAGCAGGGCATGCTCGACATTTCAGTACCTGTGCCGATATCAGGCTATGACAATGCCGAATTCAATGACAAACCCAGCGCCTATATACAGGTATAATTACATAATTATTATATTGGATTGGTCCAGAGGTGTTAATCATAAATTTGTGTTTGGGAACTTCTCTAACGGCTTTAATGATGACGCCAATTAACGCCCATTCTTGTTTCTTAAGAAATCTGTTACGTAAAAACGTTTGGAGTGTTTAAATTAAATTTAAAATTACTATTAAATTGTTTCATACTTGTACTAATTTGTGCATATCTCTAACGTTTATCTTTTGTACAGAACTCGTGCATTACCCGTGAATATTTTCGCGGAGATAATAAGTACAGCTGCAATCAGTGTACTGGCTACACAGAGGCCATACGTTCCGTTTCGTATGAGGTGCTGCCGCGTCTGTTGGTCATCCAGCTGAATCGCTTCTCGGGTGGCATGGAGAAGGTCAGCACGTATGTGCCCACAGCCTTTACACTGGAATGTTTCTGCGCCAAGTGCTGTGAGCGGAGCGAGGGCGACAAACTGCATGTCTATAAGCTATATAGTGTGATTACGCATGTGGGCGCCACACTCACTGTGGGTCATTATATAGCCTACACATGCTTTCTGGATTTGGCCAGCGAGTATGTAAACTGCCCAAAGGATCGTCGCAACAATACGCCCGGGCAACAACAACAGCAGCAACATCAGCAGCAACCGGCGAATGAGAATATGGCACCCAATAATGGTAGCAGCGGAAGTAGCAGTATAAGCACCCCCGTTTCCACGGCCGCCTCAGTGTTAGCATCGTCGGGTACCAGCCTTATGAAAAAAATGAAATTTGGGCGCAGCAAGGCGTCGAGCAGCGGAGACATGAGCAAGAACGTTAAACAGCTAAATGGCATTACCAGTAAAACCATTACCAATGGCATTGGCAAGCTGAGCATGAACACCACCTGCCATGGCGTCAACTGCTGTGCCATGCGCCTCTGCTGCGGCCAGCAGCAACATCAGCAACCAAATGCAGGCAGCAACAGCGCCAGTAGCAGCGATTTCAGCGAGGAGTCCCTGCAAAATGGCACCAACAGCAATCTCAACTACGGCAACAATGCCTATCCGCCGGGCTATGGCAGCACCGGTCGCGGAGGCGCCAAAGCCAACTACACCTGCCCTACGGCGGATCCCTTGTGGTATATGTGCGACGATGACAAGATCAAGGTGATGTCCCAGCGGGAATTCGAGGAGCTGCTCTCGGCTACCCGCAAAATAACCATCACACCGTATCTACTGTTCTATGTGCGTTTTGATACACATGCGGATGCGGGTAGGCAGGGCTCATCGTCTACGCCACCACCACCGCCATCGTCGTCGTCATCCGGCACACCACAGAGCTCCTGGTCAAATGATAATCTGCACAAGATGTGAGAGCTGTCAAGCATTGTGTGAGAAAATCTAAAGTGTCTAAGGCATCATTAGATATAAATACATGCATACTCGTATATGCGGAAAAGCAGGTCAAGCAGGTTAAAAATGTAAAAAAATATTAATAATTAATTATAACAAATTCACATGCATACATTTATTGTATTTGCTAAATAGATAATATGGTCTTTAGTGTTTAGGGCTGTATTAGAAGATGATAATGATGAAGAAGGCTGTTTGTTAAACAATGTAATCGTTGTAAGCTCTATCGTTTATCTACATGCATAACTCTATATTTAATGACTCTTTGAAAATTGTTTTTAACTAACTAGCGTTGACTGATGACCCTCCCATCCGCCCTCACAACAATACACATACAAACATATTACATATAATAAAATTGATAAACCGAGAACTCACAGAGGACTCATTAAAATTGAATAATGAAATCAATCATAAAACACAACACTAACTGCAAAAGCCTCGGCTTTTGGATTAAAGAATCGCTGTATATATACTTATATAAAAAAGCACTGCAGAAATGTATTGAAGACGAAATTGCTCTTTGTTCGTAATTTACACTCTTTTTAAAGCATTTATTTTATTTTTTTTACTTGTCTTAACTGAGTTGTTTCCTTATTCGGCATAAGCGCCACAACAATCTTATTGGACTCTAGTTTTAATCATCAAACTTATAGATTGATCAAGTAACTTTTATGAACGTCGTTTTTGTAATTTGAAAATGTTGAGCTTGGAAATCATATTTTCTTTTTATGTGTCAAAGGTTAAATGACATTTCCATTACCAATGAATTGCAATCGTTTTATTTTATTTTTTTTAAAGCAGTGAACGTTTTTGTGCAGTATTTGTTAATTGCAAAACAAAACAAAAGCAAATTTACAAAGCCAACACGAATTTAATACGTTGCAAACGGCTAACTAAAGCTAAATTTGTTTTTCCTATCGCACATAATATTAGAATGAAAATAAAACAGTTGGATAACTGAATTGATAATTATAATTTGTTAAAGGAAATTTAATAGCTAAATGTTGTACATTGCTGAAACAAACATGTAAATAAATTCGATATTGATTTATTTTGGAACACATAGCTCTGTAAACATGCATACAAGTATTACAAAAACAAAGAGCAAGTAACTCAAGATTACAAAAAAACATACATATTACAGAAATACATGCATAGTTCATCACAGTTTGTTATAAACAATGGGCTAGATACGCAAAAATGTTCATCTAAAGATAAAACTTATTAAAAAGAACAACGTGCATATATCAAATGTTAAATAGTTGTTAACTAAGCATTCAAAATAACATTCAATTCAAATTGTTTGAGCACACACACTCACACACCCATGCATAAACAAATAATACCCATACACTCATAAACACACACACGCGCTCCAGTAAAAGCAAATGAAAGTTTTCAACTCAGATCTGAAAAATGCTATTAAACGCAAAATAGTTGTACACAGTTTTTATTAACATTTTCATACGGCAATTCAAAAGAAGTACAGAAAAAGGAATAAAAAACAACAAAAACAATATATACTATATATAATTATGTATGTAATTAAAAAATATGAAATATGTATGTATAATACCGCAACCTACTTAAATATATAATTTAGTTTTTGAAGAGCGCTGCTTTAGTGATATTAACATTTACATTTACAAGTAAACATTTATTTACATTGTAATTAAACAGTTCAGTCCCCCTCCCCCACACACATGCAATAAAAATGTTTATACACCAACACCAACACACATACACACACACACATCCGCATAAAAGTAAGGAGATGAACAAACAGTTGTGAAAACCAGCGCAGTTCAATTCCAATTACGATTATTATTATTATTGATTAACAATATAGAGCATGCATAACTAAATATACAACATACATACTATATATATATATATTTATGAATGATTACTGGTCTTGCCAATCATATTATTATGCAGTGGAACTGGGGGTGACCCGCTGTTTCAGCTTTTTGATCGCCTGAAATATTTTCATAGAATTCGCCACTCGCCAATGCACCTTAACCGCCATCTCCTTGACCCCTGCTTCCAAGATAAGTGATTCCTCCCCAGTTATCTTCTTGTGAGTTTGGACCAACTCACTGAAGCTCTTCATGTCAACGGGAGTTACGATTCGGCGCAGCACAACATCCAAAAGTGTGCCCATCAGAGTGAGTTCACCGTTTTCTTGGGTATTGCTGGCAGTGGGTGAAAAAGTTCAAATATGATTTCTTTTTGTTTTGTCAACCCAACCAAAGCTAAGTGGATTTTGACTCCCAAGTAACTAATTTGAAATGTACATCATACTTGTAAGTACACAAATTTGGATTCACTTTCTTTACATTCTAGCATTTTGTTATTCAACTTATGAGTAAAGGATTAGCTGCTGGATGTACTGATTAATGTTATATATAGTATATATACGTACTCGTATATACTATATATGTATATTTGTTCTTGTAAACATTTGAACAGTTTGTAAACTCAATGATCTCCCAGCAAATTACTGTTTACGTTAGAATAGATTGCCCCCCTTTTTGCCCAGATGAGGGTTGAATTCTATGGAATCTAAGTTGCTATATATACCATGCCTTGAATTGGATGGGTAGGCAGTATTACTTACTTTTTCATAACATTTGCAAAATATTCTATAACATAAGCTTTGGTTAGATGAAAACCAATGGTCTGACTTGCAATGGACTCCAATGCGAACTGTGTATCGATTTCGGGTATGGGTCCATTGTTTTGCATTAAAGCTTCGATGAGGCGCTGAAGCAGCCACACTTTGCTCGTGCAAGCCAGACTTGACAGCAGAACGACGCGGTCGTCTGCCTCCTTAGAGATGGTGTAGCGTTCCCACAGGAATTTCCAGTCATCATCTCTACCATTTCGTATGGCTGTGCAGTAGACGGTGGCACGCATATCCAACGGTATTGGATTTTGCTTATCCGGTTCCGGATTATTTCGCCAGACCGCGAACATTTCCGCTGCCCTTTCGGCACAATCAAGAACATTGTGGTAACAGGCCCAGCCGAGAATCTGAATCTTCAGCTTTTTCTGAAGCGTTCCCAGCTTCATCAAATTGTTGTTCATGCCATCAAGGTGCTTGTAGATGGGAGTTATCAAATATTTGATGTACCACTGAAATGGGTGAATGGAAATTATTATATAAAACAAGGGAGAACGCTACAGTAGAGAAAAGCTCGAAAGAAATTTATTATTTAGAACTTTTCTTGGAATTGACCGATTCGAATGAAATTGAACAGAATTGAGTTGTGTATAGATTATGTGTGCAAAGTTTGGTTAATGTAGCTTTTGAAATGTGGACAGTATTGGCAAAATTCAGTAGCGGGGGACGGGGGAAAAAATTCCAAAAAATAAAATAAACTCGTCCTTTTTCGGATCTAGGAGAATCTGGATGCCAACTTTGGTTATTCTAGCTTTTATAGTTTCTGAGATCCTTACGTTCATCCAGACAGACGGACGGACATGTCTAGTCCAATTTCTCTCGTCATACTGATTTAGAATATATATACTTTATGGGCTCGGAGATGCTTCCGTCTGTCTGTTACATACTTTGCACAAGCCCAATATAAGCTTTTTACCCTACGGGTACAGGGTATAAAAATTATTGCTGCTTACCTCAAATTCCCCGTACTGCGACGAGTGTCTGAGAATGGTATTTAGGCTGTCCAAGTTGGAGATAGCCATCATCCAGGGCTCGTATTCGTGCTCCCTTCCCATATAGGAGACCAATTCCAGCGCTGTGTAGTAGTCAATTACATTGTTCCAGGCCAGCTTCATGACATCGTCAACGAGTTGTGCTCGATTGAGGGTATGTATGCTCTCAAATTTGTCAGAATTCAGGGTACTTATAAGCAATTTCCAATTATTCATATCATAGTTGATCTTATAGAAACCAGTCATTTGCAGGTTGAATAATATCCAATCGTTTTCAGTGGCCTCTGTTTTAACTTCCATTGTTCTCCTCTTGGACCCGTCGCATTGGAACCAATGTTTCGGTATAGTGTTTTCAAAATTGAGCTCCGCAGATGTGGTATACGACAATGGTATCCACCAACAATCGTCACGTTTCGTAGTCTGTGAATTGTATAGGAAGCGCTCCTGGGTGATATTTATAGTACCTATAGTTTTATTATCTGCGTAATTGCGGGCCACATGTATTATGGGATATCCTGGCTGGGACACCCAAGACTCCATAATAGTCGCCAAATGAATATTTTCCGGAAGCGCTTTATTCTTGTGCGCCTTATCAGAGAGCGTATTCCATAAATCATTCTTGTCCGCATTACGATAGGCATATTTGGCCAAATATTCGCGTAAGCCGCCCATAAAACTAGCGTCCCCAATGAAATAGTGGAGCATACGCAAAAGCTGAGTATAAAAACCAAAAATAAAACAATTACAATTACCATAAGCAATGATCAAACCTCACTGATTGGATTTAAATTATTTGTAATTAAACATTATCAGGTCTATGTCAATGTAATACGAGAGTTATTATTTAACTGTCCCTATCTATCTATTATCTATTATCTTTCATCTACCATTTACTTATGATGATAGCATATCATCTATATATTATCTACATGTTATAACATAACATCTATTTATTATCTCTGATCTATTTACCATAAATCTATAATCTATCTTTCATCTACCATTTACTTATGATGATAGAATATCATCTATCTATTATCTACATGTGATAGCATATCATCTATCTATTATCTACATGTGATAACATAACATCTATTTATTATCTCTCATCTATTTACCATAAATATATCATCTATCTTTCATCTACCATTTACTTATGATGATAGCATATCATCTATCTATTATCTACATGTGATAGCATATCATCTATCTATTATCTACATGTGATAACATAACATCTATTTATTATCTCTCATCTATTTACCATAAATATATCATCTATCTTTCATCTACCATTTACTTATGATGATAGAATATCATCTATCTATTATCTACATGCGATAGCATATCATCTATCTATTATCTACATGTGATAACATAACATCTATTTATTATCTCTCATCTATTTACCATAAATATATCATCTATCTTTCATCTACCATTTACTTATGATGATAGCATATCATCTATCTATTATCTGCATGTGATAACATAACATCTATCTATTATCTACATGTGATAACATAACATCTATTTATTATCTATCATCCACCGACCATATATCTATCATCTATCTTTCATCTACCATTTACTTATGATGATAGCATATCATCTATCTATTATCTACATGTGATAACATAACATCTATTTATTATCTCTCATCTATTTACCATAAATATATCATCTATCTTTCATCTACCATTTACTTATGATGATAGAATATCATCTATCTATTATCTACATGTGATAGCATATCATCTATCTATTATCTACATGTGATAACATAGTATCTATTTATTATCTCTCATCTACTTACCATACATCTATCTTTCATCTACCATTTACTTATGATGATAGCATATCATCTATCTATTATCTACATGTGATAGCATATCATTTATCTATTATCTACATGTGATAACATAACATCTATTTATTATCTATCATCCACCTACCATATATCTATCATCTAACTTTCATCTACCATTTACTTATGATGATAGCATATCATCTATCTATTATCTACATGTGATAGCATATCATTTATCTATTATCTACAAGTGATAACATAGCATCTAATTATTACCTCTCATCCACCTACCATATATGTATCATCTAACTTTCATCTACCATTTACTTATGATGATAGCATATCATCTATCTATTATCTACATGTGATAGCATATCATCTATCTATTATCTACATGTGATAACATAGTATCTATTTATTATCTCTCATCTACTTACCATACATCTATCTTTCATCTACCATTTACTTATGATGATAGCATATCATCTATCTATTATCTACATGTGATAGCATATCATTTATCTATTATCTACATGTGATAGCATAACATCTATTTACTATCTATCATCCACCTACCATATATGTATCATCTAACTTTCATCTACCATTTACTTATGATGATAGCATATCATCTATCTATTATCTACATGTGATAACATAACATCTATTTATTATCTCTCATCTATTTACCATAAATATATCATCTATCTTTCATCTACCATTTACTTATGATGATAGCATATCATCTATCTATTATCTACATGTGATAGCATATCATCTATCTATTATCTACATGTGATAACATAACATCTATTTATTATCTCTCATCTATTTACCATAAATATATCATCTATCTTTCATCTACCATTTACTTATGATGATAGAATATCATCTATCTATTATCTACATGCGATAGCATATCATCTATCTATTATCTACATGTGATAACATAACATCTATTTATTATCTCTCATCTATTTACCATAAATATATCATCTATCTTTCATCTACCATTTACTTATTACCATTTACTTATATATCATTTATTTATTTTCTAGCTCACCAGTCAATAAATAAATGATACAGACGAACAGACAATAAATATATGAGTATGTTACACCGACATCTTTCTTTATATTATATACTCGCATAAATAATTTTTATTACCAGACCGCCCTTTTTGTACGACAAATCGTCAAAGGCCTCCCTAATTTCCGAGACTTCAGTGATCTTTCGCGATACTGCCTCCGTGTCGTTGTGCGCATCCGAGTTAAACATGTTCTGTAGATTTCTTATGGTCTTAAATGAAAGTATGTGCAGATTTTTATCGGCGTTTTCGAGGCCTACTCCACTGAAGTAAGTGGCAAAGCCTTCGTTTAGCCAAATATCTGACCACCAGTTGAGAGTGACTAGATTTCCGAACCATTGATGCTAAGGATAAAAAGGATTTCAAATTACTAATATATATTTAGGTCGAGTTCATTTTACCGTGACCTCGTGCGCTACGATTGTGGCCACAGCGATTTTTTGGTCAATCGAACCTTTTGAGGAGTACACTATCAAAGGTTCGTTGAATTTAATTAAGCCCCAATTTTCCATGGCACCATTAAAACCAGGAACTGCTAACATATCGACCTTGGGCAAAGGGTATTTCATATTGAACATATATTCGTAAAACATTAATAACTTAAAGCCAATTGCATTGGCATAGGAAACCGATTTCAATAGTATGGGATCAGGACGGGTCCATGTACGAAATTCAATGCCATTATCTGTTTTCATCGTGATTGTATGTTTGAAGTCTTCTGATAATGAAAAGGCCACCAAATATGTGGGCATTGGGACTGTTGTCTCGAATGTTGTCACAGCGAGGGCTGGAGTGCTATGGCTGTATAACGATGGATTAAGCAAAAATGTGTGCGAATACATAAATAATGTGTGATACTTACTCTGCAATGTTATACAGTAGAGGCATATTGGATAATGCGGTGTATTTCTTGTCACGAACCAGACGTATGGTAAAATTTGCTTTTAGATCGGGTTCGTCAAAGCAAGGGAAAGCATAACGCGCGGCAGTGGGTTGGAACTGAGTTGCAGTCATGTATCTAAAGAAATCTTTAGTGGTTTGTTTTTGACAGAGGATAGGGGGATTTTCGGTATACGTTACTTCTTACTTCTAAGTATACTCTCCCATGCTTTAAGCTGAACAACTCAATCATCTCTAGTATACTTGAGTTGGAGTGTTTCATAACAAAGATGTTAAATTGAAGGAGAAGTAAATCGAACGGACTCAAAAAATAATCACTGATGAACAGCCTACAGAAGAGCAGGGCTATCTTCCTACAGCAGCCAGAGGTTTTTAAATTATAGGTTCACATTTCTTCTTAATATTAACGATTTTTATTCTTTAATCTTAATAACTCAACCATCTCTATCAAGGGCGTACCCAGGGCGGCGGCTGTTACCCCCCGAAAAAAAAATCTCGCAATATAAAGTCGACCACACATTCATTATTATGTCGCACTATTTCGCCTTAAATTAGAATTGAGTTGGATTTGCTAAAGTTTTTGTAGTCATTATATGTATAATTTATTATTTTAACTCATCGTGCATTATTTAATTAAAAATTTACATTTTTTGGCTCCCCCCTTTGGAAAAAGCTGCGTACGCCCTTGATCTCTAGTATAATAAAATTGGAGTCTTTCGCTAAGGCGAAGCCTACAGAAGAGAACAGAGATTTTTAAAATTGTAATTAAAGTAAAAATACTTAGTACTCTTTCATCAAATATTAAAACTAAAATGAACCCGCCTTCGGTACTGTTGTTTGCCAATAGCTTAACTGCGTTGGTAATACTTACTTGGTTTCATTAGTAACATGATCCTTATATGTATTTACGAAGTAACCCTCCTTCTCCTGACTTAATTTTCCCGAAAATGTAAGCGCAAGCTTGTATTTCACTCCCGGCTCTAGTTTCTTTTCCAAATTCAGAATATAAAACTCATATTGACTATGAGTTTGTGTATCGGAAATTTTAATTATTTCGCTGTTTTCCTGATTTATTAAGATCGTTAGTGTCGGATCGATTTGATATTTGGCAGCATGCAGTGTTATATTATTACCGGCACCGCTTAAAGCTACAAAATCTATTTGAACTTCGCCAGTAAAATTCAAATTTGCGGGATCTTCTAAATTAGTTTTGATCTCGACATTATAGGTCAGGGGTTTCACAGCCTTCGGTAGACGGTAGTGTGTATATTGGGCATCACAATAGCCACACAAAATGGCTAATAAAATGGAAAGCCTTTGCAAGGACATGTTGGTAAAGATCACAAAAAATTTAATTTCTAAGTTCAGTGGCACATGGTTTTCACCGAAAGGGCAATGGGTGTGTTTTGTAATCCTCGTTAATCCTTTGTAGTTCAGCTACAAATTGTTCACTTCTTCTGCTGAGATACTAAGCACTTGCACTTCACACTACTCCAGTCTCAAAATTTGACTAAACGGAGAGCGTCGCAAGCTGCTTATTTATACCCATTTCTTATCAGCGGATTTGCAATAATTAGAAAACTCTCAACCCATCTGTTACAATGGCCATAATGTATTTAAAGAAGAGGAAGGTGCAGTCTAAAAGGCTCGGCTTCGTAGACCTCAAATGTCTGCTACAAATACGTGTCTACAAGTAGTTGGTACTATATAGTTAGTTTATTCGGAACATTTAAATGTACATCTTTCCTATATTTAAACAATTTTGAATGAGCTGGTGTGCAGTGTTGAAAATGCAGAAATGAGATTGGTGGCAACTCAGTGGCCCTGGCTGGTCGCAGGACCTAGAGCAGCAGCTGAATGGAGCGTGTCAACTGATGATAGTTGCGCTCCTTCCATTGCACATTGGTCAGAATGGTCTCGAGGGTTTGCTGTAGGGCTTGGTCCAGACCCTTTAGCGATTTCCGGTTCTCTTTGATGAAAGCCTTGAAATTGTCAAAATCGCTTTGGCTGATTATCTGCTCTGAGAGCGGAGGCAGCAGTCGCGACATATCCTTAGTAATTGGATGGTAGCTTTAATGAAAGGAAAGACGGGATTATATATGGTTTGGCTGTCAAAATCTCAGACAATTGCTACTCACAATTTATAGAGCGAGTCGACATTGGCCATGAAATAGTTCTTGGCCAAATGGAAACCGATCTCATTGGAAGCCACCGCCTGGAAGGCCCACATAGAGTCCTGCTTACGTATGGCATCGGTTGGATCGTAAGCCAACTCCAGGAATCTTTGGAGCAACCAGACCTCCCGCGAACAACCCAGCGATGTGAGAATGGAGCGCTTCTCAGCGGCCACATTTGATTTCTTGTAGCGTGTCCACAGGAACTGCCAGTCGTCCTCGTTACCATTCCGCACGGACGTACAATAGACGGTGTTCCGTAGATTTATCGGCACCGGATTCGTTTCATCCGGATTGGGCGATTCGCGCCATTCACGGAAATACTCCTGGGCATGTGGCACACAGTCCTCAACCTGATACTGACACGCCCAGTTGGCCACCAAAGTTTTCAGCAATATGTCATCCTGTTGCTCTATGCTGGCGAATGTGTCGTTCAGACCGCCCAAGTGCAGGTAAATGGGCGTAATCAGTTTTCGCATGTAACGCTGTTTTGTGGAGGGTAGAGGGAAATACGTTAATTGAACCTGTTCTCGGGGACTCGAGCAAAACGTGAAAGGTATATGGCCAATTGTGCAATGCTTAAACTTACGGCAAAAAACAACTTTCAGGCCGAAATGTGTGCAAAATAAATCGATTTGTTACAAAATAAATGAGAATTAGAGGTTTCAGGTTGTGATTACGTCTAGAGAGGTAAAGGCATGGCTATATAAGTGGATACAAGTATGTACGATAATATCGATAAGATAGTCTTCGAGTTTTTTATTGCAATCAGGAATTCACATGGCACTCATAAATTGAAGAGAAATTTGAAGAAACCTAGAACTGGTTTTGGAGAACTGGAACTATTGAATAACTTTTTAAATAATGTATTAATCTTTACAAATTTAATTGATATATTTTAGGCCTGTGAGCCTATTCGAATATAGCGGCTTACACCCCGGTTCAAAGGTGTTTTAGGAATATTTTTAGCCAATTTTTATCCGGTTTTGAGAAGATTGGTAATTGGGTTCAAAACCAACTCCAGATGTAGTTAAATATGATATGAGTATTCTCCGAACCTGTTAACCAACGTTGGATAGAACTGTATTGGATCTAATCGGATTCAAAGCCAACTCCAGATTTAGTTAATTATGATATGATTATTCTCCGAACCTGTTAACCAACGTTGGATAGAACATGAGTCTCGAAATAGGAATAGAGAAAGAAACGGTTCCCGTTCAAAATTCATAAACCACTATCCGTCGATATGATCCGCAATTGGATTGCTTTCTAATTAAATCTCTGATTACAATTGCTGTTTCTCAAATATCGATTTATCGGCAATGGAGATCCCAACATCAACTCACCTTGAAGAACTCAAAGTCGGGCGTCTGTCGCACAATGCGACCCACACGCTTCAGGTTTTCGAAAGCCGACTTCCAAGGTAAATATTCGCGTTCCCGTTGCAGATACTCGATCAGACGCATCGCTATCTCATAGTCCTGTTCGCCGGTCCAGGCCAGATAGAGGGCATCATTGATGAGTTGTGCTCTGTTGATGACGTGAATTCGTTCGAATTCGCCATTGGTGAGTGTCTCAATGAGCAGCTTCCAGTTCTGTTCGTCGTAGTTCACTTTGTAGAGCGATGTTACCTGGGTGTTGAAGATGACCCACTCATTCTCGTTCGGCATATTTTCTATGGTCTTGGGTAGCGTTTCGCCCGCTTTGCCGCACTCCAGCCAAGCCTTGGGGGCGGTATTCTGGAAGTCTGACTCTGACTGTGAGGTATAGCTCAGAGGCACCCACCAACAGTTGTTCCGATGGGCCCGAGAAATCTGGGTGTTCAAAAAATAGCGCTCCTGGCTCAATTTTGCGCTGTTGGCTTTATAGTTACGTGTGACATTGATGACAGGATATCCTGTTTGTAATGTCCAGGAATCCATAATCGATTTGATGTCGTAACTTTTGGGCAGAGCGCGGTATTTGTGAGCAGCTTCTGTAAGGGACTCCCAAAGATTGTCCTGATCGGCATTATTGTAGGAGTACTCTTGCAAATAGCTCTGCAGGCCCGATCGGAAGGAGTCCTCACCCAAGAACATGTGCATCATGCGCAGCACCGTGGAACCCTTCTGATAAGAGATGGAGTCGAAACTCTCCGATATTTCAGCAACCTCTTGAATAGGCCGCGAGATTGGGTGACTGCTCTCTAGAGCATCTTTACGGAATATTGTAAGCAGATTGTTCAACGACTCCTTCTCCAGGTAGCGCCATTCTGGATTTATTTTCTCCACACCCAAGCTGGCAACGTAGGTGGCGAAGCCCTCGTTGAGCCACAGATCTGTCCACCATTTCATGGTCACCAGATTACCGAACCATTGATGGGCCAATTCATGGGCTATGACCGATGCCACACGCTGCTTGTCCACCAAGGACGAGTGGGCGTCCGAGTGGAGCAAAGCAATCTCACGATAGGTGACCAAGCCCCAATTCTCCATAGCTCCGGCACTAAAATCTGGAATGGCTATTTGATCGATTTTCGGCAACGGGAACTTAATGCCGAACAGCTCCTCATAGTAATTCAACACCTGGGGACCGAACTCGGCTGCATAGTCGCACTGTTGAATGGCATTGGGGCGTGCCCAGGTGCGGAAGAGTGTGCTGTTCGGGAGTGTCGATGGCTTATGGCTGAAGTCGTTCACAGAATAGGCAACCAGATAGGTTGACATGGGCACCGACTCTTCAAACTCGCACCACACATAGTCAGCAATGGATTCACTGTAATTAGACTTGTTTTCTAAGTTTCGTGCCAACGACATCTATATGCCAGTTGAACTTACTGTGTTTTGGTTTCCTTAACAGGCATGTTGCTCAGACCAATGTACTTCTTATGGTAGCCCAAGGTGACGACAAATGGTGCCTTGAAGTTGGGCTCATCAAAGCAGGGGAAGGCCAAACGTGCGGATGCTGGCTCGAATTGTGTAATGGATAGCCACCTGGAGTTGAATTAGGATACAGTAAGGTATGGTTGATCTCTTTCGAAGAAGCAAAGGACCGGGTTACTTTCGCTTTGTATATAGTAAGAACTAAGCGATCTTTACAATTATGTTGTAAAATAAATATAATTTCTTAAGCTATCTGATGTCAACTACTCGAACCTGGAGATGACGCTCTCTGTCTGCCTCAGGCTTAATACAAAAGGCTTCAAAGCCTCTCGCCATCCCCATCATTGTAGGCCGAATACCGATTTTCATATACTCCAATAACCAGGCAGCGCCTAAAGCACTCGATTACCAATTAGACAGCTTTATTTTCCTAACTCAAGCTTAGTTTTTATTAGATTAGATTTATAAAAGGAAATCCTTCCCAGTTGTTAGAATTGTTTTAGTTTTGTGCTGATCTTTGCTTTTAAACTTAGTGGCATAGAAAATTCAGCAAAATGAAATCTCAAAAAGTAAATTTTTAGACATGGAATCTAGAACTGAGATCGTTGAGCAACAGATGACGCCATTTTGTGAGCTTAAGCTACTGGAGAAATATCGCTTTAGCAGCTTCAAAGGCTGGGCCCTTCCTGCTAAGTCTTCCTGTTGCAAAGAAAAGATGGCTGAGGCGGGCTTTTACTGGACAAGAACTGAGGAAGGACAATGCCACATGTTTTGTATGTGGAATCACTCTGGAGAGTTGGGACTTCGAGGATGACCCCTGGATAGAGCATTCCAAATATGCTCCTCAGTGTCAATTTGTGAAATTGGGAATTCCCGAAAAAAATATGACTGTGAGTCAATTTATGAAGAAGAGCATTGAGGAGGCCTGCAACGAGTTGAAATCAAGACTTGAAAAAGGAAGCAGAACTAAACTCAATAAGTTTATGAATTCGTAAGAGAGGCTTGCAAAATAAATTTGCCAGAAAACTACAAATTGAAATAGGGATTGTATAATAAGTATAGTAGAAATAAGTGCAGCTTGATGCTTTAGCCTTAACACTAATTTAAAGCCCTGGCTAGATGAGATCGGTAGCCAAAGTCCTTTTAGTCAGTGCGGAGTAAACCAGATTCTTCCGCAGATATGAAGAATTTCAATGGCAAAGAAAGAGAACTCTTATGTTCTTTACATTTCTAAATTGGAGTTGGTAAAAATCTAGTTAACCAAAGGAAAAAAAGCTTAAGAACTTAAAATAATTTGTTTAACTACGTGAAACCTTTTATATTTTCTGAAAATGATTGCTTAGTGATATTTTTAGTTTAAATTGCTTACCTCGTCTCATTAGCATCCTGATAGGAGCTCCTGTAGTAGCCCTCTAGCTGACGATTTAGCTCAGAATTGAACGGAAGTGTCAGCTCAAAGGTACTGCCCGCTAACAATTCCTGGCACGTGTGCATTATATAGAAATCATGGACAGTATTCACCTCGGTGGAGGCGATGCATATCTGTCGATCGCCATTGATCTCGCGCAGCTTAATCAGTGACTCGTCAATGGTGAGATTCTTGGCATGCAGCGTTATGTTCTTGGTATCCTCCAGAGCCTCGATCAGTATGGTGACATCGCCCTCAAAGCGCAAGTTCGCGGGATCCTCCAATTGGGTGAGCACCCGCAAATTATATTTCTGGGGGCGCAGTGAAGTGGGCAGGCGGTAGTGGTTGTAGCTGACCGCTGTCGCCGCCACCAGAAAGGTCAAGAGCAGCACAAGTAGCTGCATACTGATCGCCATTAACTGTAAAGGTCAACAACAGCCGTTAATGGTGAGCGGAAGCCGCAATAAGTAATGCAATTAAAAACGTAACTGCAATTAACTAAATTATGTTTTCAATTATTTTAAAGCTCCATCGAGCTCATTGCTGCCTGCGTGCGTTTCACTTTTTTTTTAGCTTCTCTCATTTGTTGTTATTGTTGTTGTTTTATGCAAATTAGTTGTGCGGGCGGTTGGGTTGAAACCTTAAAGCTTGCCACGATTTGAGCTGCTCAGGCAGGGCATACACGTATTAAGGTCTGGGACAATGAGACTTGATTTAATGTTGCTGCCTCTGAAGTGCTCGTTATTTACATATTGATTTACTTTTATTTGGTGTGCATTTAATATAATTTACTTTGCGTTAACAATCAATTTCAAGCTCTGCGCTACACACACACATATTGTACTTGTACATATATATCTTCATAACAGGTTGCTTATTCTTGGCAAAAAGCCGATTTCAGTCACGTGCACGCTGTTAATAACAAGAAAGAACAACAACAAACGTGTCTGAAATCGAGTATTGCCCCAGAATATAGAGAATATACTTGTACATATAAGTTGTTAAGGTCTTGGCATGAGAGTGAGACTGAAGCAGAATATTCTACATATACGAGTATACCTTACTATATATGCTTATAACTATATAATGATTTGCAATGCCAATTTAACATTTAATGGCCTCGTCTATATAGTCACACTTACTCGCCAAAAGTTCATTCTACAAAACCTGTTCTTTTGAGAATTGGACTTCCCAAAGTCTCAAGAGAGTCTTAGAAGCAGAAATTAAAAGCACACACAATGTCCGAAGTTTTGAAACCTTCTGCGCTACAAACTAAAGCATTATAGACTAGTCTGCAAGATTTGAAATGAAAACTTGCGTAAAAAAACGCTGTGCTACAAATATATGTATTTGGTTAGATAGATGATCTACTAATTTGGAGATAGATTGATACACATATATGTATAAATATATGGGCTTAAGGATAATTAAAAAAACACACAGAAAAATGCAGTACGAATAATGTTCATGCCTTTTGATAATTTAATATTTTCACAGCCTTCTACAGTATTGTGACTTGGTTTTCGGCTTGCTTTTTAATAATATTGTTAATTGTTGATCTCAATTGTCCAGCTGCAGTAATTTGTTCCTCCAATTACGTGCCGGGTTTTACCCGATTTATAATTTAACAATTAATTATGAACATATTTTATGTATACACTGAAAGACAAAACTCACGATCAAAACAATAAACGGCTGTAATAAAATATGTACACATTGCCATTCTATACTGAATATATAGGGAGACTACCTTATTTGAAAAAATGTTTCATAGATGGCGCAGCTAACACTCTTAATGTTCATAGAAAATGACAAAAAAAGACAGCCGATGTAGCATCGATACATCGATGATATGATCGTTTTCTTAGACATCGGTATTTTATTCCCGATGTTCGATGTTCGATGTTCTTTACTAGTTGTCCACCACTGAATTTTTATTTTTGTATGTTATATTTTCCTTGGTTTTTGTTATATTCTTTGAATTTGTGCAAATATCGTTTGTTTTGAAACCTTTTGTATTTAATACAAAACCTTAGCTTTAAATAATATGACAAATCAAAATTAAGTTCCCTATGTTTAATAAAAAATTCGTTAATAGAAGTTAGATGCATCGATAAATCGATGTTCTTCCCCGAAAAACATCGAAACATCGATGTGGGTAAACATTGTTGTTTCTCCAGCATTACTTAACTTGCCGATGCAGCTAAGCATCGGGGCAGCTAAGCAAATTATACGGTATAATTTATATATTATACATGGATAGATAGGTAGATATTTGGCTAGAAATATAAGTAAATATATAGTTAGACAGATAGATAGGCAGATAGATATTTAGATAAAACGATAGAACGCAGCTTGATAGAAAAGATATCTATCTAAGATAATTAGTTAAAAAGATAGTTAGTTAGATATGTAAATGGCAAGTAAGATGATAGATGAGTCAGAAAATTGAGATAAGAACAAAGAAGATTTGTCTAAGATAGGCAGGAGGTAGTAGTAGATAGTTAACAATACATATGTTTAAAAGGATATTGAGATCCTCAGTTTGAGAGACTAACTAAATAATCTGCCAACTAAGCAGATATGTACATATGTATATAGATAAATGAAAATATAGCTAGATAGAAAAAATTCGAAAAAGACCCAAAGACAGATGATAGACTTTTTGCTGTATTCTTCAATTCTCCTTCTCATTCTTCGCTGAACTAGGAATCAAGCGTAACAGGCAGGAAGACTGGATTTTCTAGCTTCAGATCACACACACAGGCACACACACACACACACATCAGCTCAGAGATCGTTCCAGACCTCCGTCTAATGCAACTCCAACTCGTTTTTCTCAGCTTTTAAATATTTATTTATGCGCAAGTCATTGCCTCATTGGCGGCTGCTGGCAGAGAGATTTTTGCCGTCGCAGTCATTCTGGATTCGGATATTAAGATGAAGATGGTCAGTGACCTTTAATTTGCATGATCGTATGCGTATATGTGGAACTGGAATAAGTTTCGGCCTTTTGCAATGCAGATGAAATGTCCCATAGATTGCATGAGATCCATTCTATATACGAGTACGTGTATATTGATCGATTGTCATTCAATAAATTTGAATATAACGTCAACAGCAATTTGCGAAAGCTATTTCTTTATATTAAAACGCCTATAGGAAATATTTTCTTTGTACCGTGCCTTTAATTGGCTCTGATATAACATTTTTCAATTGAACTTAACACTTTTAAAAACCTTTAATGGAAAACAAATGTGATAGGCGAGTCTTGCAGGGGCGAATTCATAAATGTGTATATGAATACTTTTTAGTGTAAAAAATTGAAGTAATTGTTTATAAATTGTAATAAAAGCCGAACATAAAGTTTTTCACTCTTTAGGTAAAACTTTCAAATTAAGTCCAATTCAACATACAATTCTCAGAATCATTGATACTCTTCCTAAGTTTTTTCAAACATTGGATGTAATGAATCAAGTATGAATCAGTGATTCTGATTTTAACTCATGCTGTCACATGACTTTAAAAATCATTGTGCATAAGATATGAATATTACTGTCTGGTTTTTCTACGACACTATTAATTATCTTTTTGCTGTCTGCATGTCATATCGTGTGGTTCATCTTTTCTAAATACTCTATGGTAGAATTGACTTTCTCTTTCTTAGTTTTCATTGCTAAAAGAGATATAAAAAGATGCACATAAAGTATTTGAAAATAAAATGCTAATCTTGAGGCATTTTTAAATCATTTATGACTAATATGATAAATATTCATATAATTAATTTATACTGCGTCTGAAGTTCAACTCTGTCGAATGAAGTCAGAAGCTCAGTTCAACATTGGCTCAACGATTCATATATAATTCGCATGATAAACATAAACAATTTAAACTACTACAATATGTCACTTTTTATATATAAATACATACTCCAAACCCTAAGAGATGGGAAGCTGCAATCTAGACACAACTTTTCTTTTACAATTGAAAACTTCGACCTCTAAAGAAGGAAATCGGGCATCTAAGCTTGTATGAAAAATTTTCTGAAAAACACATTTAACATTCAACACCCGAAAAGTGAGTGATTCAATGATTCAGTTAATGCTGAGCTTGGACTTAATGGCTAAATAGCAAATATTTAAAAAAATTATAGAACTGTAGAGCTTGAATAAAAATGCTTTAATATATGTACATCATAAATATATTGTTTAGGAACGACGATGCACATATGATTCGAACTTTTGTCATAGTTGTTAGAATATAAACAAACTCCTCGTTAAATAGATTCATATGATTTGCTATATCGTCAAACTGTTTGAAGTTTATTGTGTTCATGCATGGCTCTAGTAAAATGTATATAGAAATTGATTGTTACGCCTACAAACACATTGATATATGCTTGTAGATGACTGTGCTGGCAACGTCTCATAAATATAATTATTGAGAGCAATATTTAGTGCAAGCCCATCAATATTGGGCTGTAGATTCACGATACATTGCTGATATCTGTAACTAACTAACTAATGCCATAAATGACTATTGGAATTACTGTCAATATTTTAGGTTTGCATTTTAACGCGTCACACAAGGTCGGTTCACTATATATCTGAGCTGTTTACTGTTTGGAAGTTTAAAAACTTTTTCCTGTTAACTTTTTGGTAACTAAATTTATCATGCACACATACACATACACAGTTTGTTTGTTAAGTTTTGAACTTGTTTTTGTACTTTGTTGCACTTGGTTGTTTTAAATTTTATATAACAGCTCGGGCCATGCAGCCGCAGCAGCCACTTGACACACTCAGTAAGTATGTAAAGGCCAACACTACTTAATGGAACACTAACCGAGGCGAGTTGACAGCAGCAATAGACGGAATAATCCAAAGACGAATGCGACCAGTATGACGGTCGCCGCCAATCTGAAGTTTTCTGAGCGTAGCGCTTGTATCTTATAGGCCCGGCAAGCACACACTTGCACACACTTGCACACACACACACACAGACATACGCACACATGTATGCATATAAATAACCGGAGAGACAAACAATATATGTACACACATAGTATATGCTTGTAAACGACAGCGGAGACGAGCAGAATGCGAAAACAAAAAAAGAAAAAAAAGAAAATATTGAAACAGCGGCGGCGATGGCGGCTTAAACGATTCGTGCGTCGGCGCAGTGGAAGCTTCGGAGATGGCTGCCATTTATCACACACACACACACGCACACGCACACACACACACTAGCACATATATGACGGACACTACGCTGTCGCCTGCAATTAAATAATGGCCTGGCTTATGCGGCGTATGCGCGATTTTGAATTTCCCTGCACACACACACACACATATATACAAAGGCGCGTGCTTTTTTTTGCTGCTGCTGTTGTTGTTGTTGTTCTGTGCGCGACGCCAACATATTTTTGACCTTAATTCTGCTGCTTAACCCGTTTCGCAGCACTTGGGAGCCAAGAGCAGCAGATAAACAATAAAAGAAACAAACATCAGCCGTCGCTCAGCAGGCGATTTATACTCCAATCAGAACCACAACCGCCACCACCACCTCCACCAGCTTAATGCGATTTATGAGCGGGCCCGTGTTGGGCCACCGCTGTTATTGGCCGCCACCTACCACCTCCCACACCCCACCCCCACGGGCCAAGCCACTCAAACGATACAAAACACAGCGGTTGGCCGCAACCAGCGAGCCCAGGCTCAGTGTGTGTGCCTTCCTTCTGTTCTGGTTACTAGCGTGTTGCAATCATTTCTTGGGTGTCGTTACGACTTTGTGCATTGGTTTGGTTTAAGCGATTATCCCCCCTCCCCTCTAACATAGATCCACCTACGACACCGCAAATGATGGCCACTTGTCCCGGTTTTATGGCCATCGCTTTGGCATTGCTCGCACTTATGCTCTAGTTGGGGAAAAAGGGTTCGCTTAATTAACTCAAAGGGCGTTCTTGACATTGTTTTTCTTAATTTTGTTGCTTTCTAAGAAATAACAATTTTTGGATCTATTTTTCTTGGGTCTATTTTTTATATTGGAAGCTTTTTTATTGCATATTTTAATGAGATTGCATTCTACAAACTAACAATATATCTTTTTTGATTGTAATTATCTTTTAAATTGCTGGAACTTATGCTCGAGTTGGGGAAAAAGGGTTCATTTAATTAACTCAAAGGGCGTTCTTGACATTGTTTATCTTAATTTTGTTGCTTTCTAAGAAATAACAATGCTTGGAAATGGGTCTATTTTTTATATTGGAAGCTTATTTATTGCATATTCTGATGAGATTGCATTCTACAAACTAACAATATATACTATCTTTTTTGATTGTAATTATCTTTTAAATTGCTGGAACCTATGCTGTAGTTGGGGAAAAAGGGCTCATTTAATTAACTCAAAGGGCGTTCTTGACATTGTTTATCTTAATTTTGTTGTTTTCTAAGGAATAACAATTTTTAGATCTATTTTTCTTGGGTCTATTTTTTATATTGGAAGCTTATTTATTGCATATTCTGATGAGATTGCATTGTACAAACTAACAATATATACTATATTTTTTGATTGTAATTATCTTTTAAATTTCTGGAACTTATGCTCTAGAGGGGGGAAAAGGGTTCATTTAATTAACTCAAAGGGCGTTCTTGACATTGTTTATCTTAATTTTGTTGCTTTCTAAGAAATAACAATTCTTGGAAATGGGTCTATTTTTTATATTGGAAGCTTATTTATTGCATATTCTGATGAGATTGCATTCTACAAACTAACAATATATACTATCTTTTTTGATTGTAATTATCTTTTAAATTGCTGGAACCTATGCTGTAGTTGGGGAAAAAGGGCTCATTTAATTAACTCAAAGGGCGTTCTTGACATTGTTTATCTTAATTTTGTTGTTTTCTAAGAAATAACAATTTTTGGATCTATTTTTCTTGGGTCTATTTTTTATATTGGAAGCTTATTTATTGCATATTCTGATGAGATTGCATTCTACAAACTAACAATATATACTATATTTTTTTATTGTAATTATATTTTAAATTGCTCGCACTTATGCTCTAGTGGGGGAAAAAAGGGTTCGCTTAATTAACTCAAAGGGCGTTCTTGGCATTGCTTATCTTAATTTTGTTGCTTTCTAAAAAATAACAATTCTTGGAAATGGGTCTATTTTTTATATGGGAAGCTTATTTATTGCAGATTCCATATTTGAAATTGTTATTTTTTAGTTGTAATTGTATTTTAAATTAAACCCTAATGCGACTACTTTTTATTGCATTTTATGCTAAATTTAAATAAAATAAAATAATTAAATCATGCAATATATCTACGGGAAGCTAAGCGTCTTTGGTGCTGAACAGATTTATTTCCTAGATATTAGCGGGTTGAGGTTTAGAAATACAGAACAATTGCTTTTTAAAGACCGATAAATTATTTCTTTTTTTCAAAAAGGTAGAGCGGGTTCGGAAATAAATAATGCTCACTTATATGCAATTGATACTAACAAGGTTAGTAGGTTTAAGCTTATATAGTTTCGGTTCCGGTATGATTTTTTAATATTTTTCCCCGTTAATACTACAATTCTAAAGCTGCACATGTTAAAGGTAGCACACATAACTATATATATTTCTATACTTTTGTTTTGCATTTAGCATACTCAATTAATTTGGATTACAAAATTTTAATAGACGTACGTAATAAGTTAGATACTGAAGCGTTAAATGCGTTCAATTAGGACAGGACGCAGAGGGGGGCTGTGTTTTTAATTAACACGTAAAAATTAACTTATAAAATGTGAATATATTATTAATATGTTGGTCTATCAAGGGCTACAACAAAATCGAGTAATCATAAATCTTAAATTCTACAAATTTTTCCACCCATCTTTAATTGTTCTCAGAAATAAATATGAGATATAAATTAAACTTATACAATACAGTTAAATAGATTGAAGAAATTGAAGCAAGTCGATGTTTTTTTTTTTTTTTTTTTGTTTTTTTGAGAATCAGATCGATTGGGAACATTCAGTATTTCCTACCACTTGATTCGCATGGCTCGTGTTCTCCTCGCTACCGGCAGATGGCGCAGCTGGGAAGTGATGGCTAACCGTTCAAAAGGCTATAATTACGGTATTTAAGAAAAAACACCTTCAATTGGGAAAATAAATGGCATAAGCTTTCTTAGGAATTATAATCCCAATACAAAAGTTATCAGAGGAATTAAACAGAGAATTATTAATAGATAATTAATCAAAAAGGGACTGTTCAAATCGGTAGGAGAAGATTTATTTGCCTTTTAGAGAGTTTGTAAAGGAAAGGATTTCATCCATAACGATACTTAGGAAGGATACTTAGGAAGGAACGACATCAAAGGACAAAGCAATCTACACACCCGGCACTCAACACAAGAACAGTGCTTCGACTAAATGGCGACGGAGTACATTAATATTTGTAGCAATGATTCTTAATATGAATATTAAAAAAGTATTCATCTAAAAGGTTGCCCGAAAAAGCATGAATCACATCTCTTTCTAATTTCTTTTTTAAAAATGAACAATTTGATTACGTTGCGCCGCAGATTTGCAGAGTAGGTGCAGACTTAAGCTCTACAGCTTGGCCGCAAACAATGTGCGCAGATCTGTTATCGGAGAGGATTACGTTATGTTGGGTTTGGTGCACGGTTTCATGTTTCAGAGCTTACAACAAGTCGTGCGGCAGACTTACTCAGACTGTATGAGAAATGTTCAGCGTTTGATTTTTTTTTGTGTTTTCTGTAATCACTATTGGATGCAGTCCATCGTTAGTTATAGGAAAGTCGTTAAAATACTTAAAGAATGGCTTAGAAGTCACCCTAAAGATAGTAGATTGACTGTCTGGTAATTTGTTTTCGAATTGTTAGACCGAAATAGAATTTCTGAGACAATCACAATATCTCAAAAGCCTAATGGAATTCAATTATCATAAAGTATTTTAAGCTATTGTGAGTGGTTTTAACTTTGTTTTACGTAAGCTGCTGGAGCTAAGAAAGTAACAATTCATAAATGCCGTAACTTTTTTTTAAGCTCCTGCTTGAATTGCTTTTTGAAATAGTATTTAAGCTTATTATATCACCCATTTTTTGTTTAATTATCACAGTAAATAAATTATTTTGTAATATTTCTTCCATTTATGGCACGATTTAACAAAAAGAGGGCAAAAGGCTTTTTTAAATTAAGTTTCCCATTCCTCAGTCTGGCAACCTCATTTCTAACAGTCAAGCAGTGCATTTGCTAATGTTCTGTGCCAGTCAGCTTGTGTCACGACGTATTTGCCACTGGCTCTGTTGACGAACCGGAACTGGTGCATTTGGTCTTGGCTTTGTTGGCGCCAAGTTCAAACAGGGCGGAAGCAAAATCCAGCTGAAAATATAAAGATGACGGCTCTTTCTCATCATTTTTAACAACTGGCTCGTTCTGCCCCTCAAGCGTTTGCAGCTTTTTACCAAATGCAATAAAAAAGTTGGACTTTTTTTTTCAGTTCTGTGGCTTAAATATATTTAAGTTCTTTCATCTTTGTTCAATAATATTGCCTTTTTTGATACAAAAATAAGCTTTGCTTAAAATAATAATCATTAATAATACGGTACATAAAAATTAAACAAATAATAAGCGTAAATTGTGTGTGTACCTAGCAGAAGTTTTTAACTTTCAACTCATCCTACATGTATTTAATAAATGTCTAAATGCATAAATGTAAGTTTGCGTGTGTTCTTGTTGTTGTTGTTGCTTGTGTATATATCTATATATGTAGATTTGGATGAGTGTGCACAGGTGGTGGTTTTTTTTTCATTTTGTTTCTATATGGCCATATCGTTTATCTGCTTATCAACTATGCGTTTATAAGGAGTCTGAATGAATGGGTTTTGTTCTTAAATTCTACCGACAATGACTGACGATGATGACGAAGACGACATTAAACCTTTGTAATTTTTTAGATAATATAATGCACATTTTTGTTACGTTAGAATTTGAACTAAAGCGGTAGGTAAGGTAATAAATTCAACTAAAGCACAAACCTAATGAAAACAATAAATTGACGAAACAAATCACTAACTTAAAAAACAATAATGACATGAAAAATTCGTTTTTGTGTGTGAATGAGTGCGTTGTGTATGAATCAGAGAGGGGGCGCGCGCAATTACAACTTAAAACTTAAACTAAACCAACAAATCAAAATCAACAAAATCAACTTAAGATTGGTAATCAAAAATAAATACCCACTTTCCTATATACAATTTAAATATACCCCCCAATTGTTTTCTTTTTTGTTTATACTATGATCATGCGACCCTTTCATAAGCGCTTATAGCATGAGACGTGAACGCGACTTCTTCAGCCGCCCAGTGGCGCCGCCCAAACCATCGCCATTCCATGACTTTGACTTGGCACGAAAGTGGCGATAGTCCTCAGTATATGCCGGCTCCAGCATGGGGCGATACGAGTGCGGTTGGCACAGATCGGCATGCGTCTCGAAAAAATCTTTATAGCCATTGTGCAGTAAATAGATTTCGGGATAATGTAGAGCCGGATACGCATTAGTATTACGCTCACGATCCAATTTGCGCAAGAAGCGCGACATCTTGGGGCCGCGCTCCGAAGAGAACTCGCAATGAAAAATGATGATGTTGCGTTTGTTGCCTGAAGCAGCATTTTGTTGTTGCTGCATCTCGGTTTGTTGGGTGGTCAGGAATTCCTCGAGAATTTGCTCGTGGGTGTACAAATTCTTGGCGCCCTCAATGTGGCCGCCCTCGAACTCGTAGGGATAGCGGCAGTCGATAATGCGATAGCTGGCCACCTGCTGATCGAAATCGCCGCGCAGCAAACGGGCCACAGTGGCGCTAGAGATGGACTTGAGGTCGCTATGGCGGCCGGGCACCAGGGGCAGAACATGCGCCTTGCTCAGATCACCAATTAGCTCCGGTTCGTTGCGATTCTCGGAACGGGCCAAGGCCGAGGCGATCTCTGCATCGTTTAGTGACATGCACTTGCGCAGTGGTGGGGGATGACTGGTGGTTTGGGTGCTGGCCGTGGTGGCTGGAGTAACTTCAGCAGGTGCTGGACAGTTCTCCTTCTCGGCACAGCGATGACGTTTTGTCTGCACGGGCGAACAAGTCGCCGATACAGGCGGTTCGGGACGCTTGAAACAATCCCGGGCAGTCTCTTTTGTTAACAGCATCTCGGGCGTCTTTGGTGAATTCGCATTCGTTTCTGTCATGCTGAGGCAGCGGCGCACCGGTGGACGACGCATCATCAGCGAGTCGGGAGTTTTGGGAGCGGGTGGTGAGGATTTAATTTGTCCGCTGATCAGCGAATTCAAACCGCTGGGAAAACCAAAACTGGGCGCCTGCTGTGACTGCTGCTCCATTTCCATTAGCTCCATGTACTCATCATCCATAGATGATTCCATAGAGCCGGTGGATGACAGACTATTAAAGACGCGAAACGTGCGCGCTGGCGTTGCTGCGCTATTACCGCAATATTGTTGTTGTAACTTTTCTTGCGGCAGAATTTGGAAACGCTGTGGCGAACCCTCTGGCGACAACAGGCCCAGCAGCTCGGGGTTGGGCATGGCCTGCTGGTCATGTGGGACGGACAGTGTGTCGTCGTCGTCATAAAAGGACAACTCGTCAGAGTCCATGGCCATGTCATCGATCGAGGTGAGACTGCAGGGCAGAGCACGGCGAGCGGCGCGACGTGTGGAGCCATTCACATTTCTGCAACGGAGCAAAGAGAGAGCGGGCGAAGAAGGCAAGAGATTAGTCAACTGCTTCAAATTTGGATAGAGAGCGAGAGCGGGTATGTGTCCTAAGCTGTATGAAGAGCGGGTCATTAAACCCGCAGTATAAAAATAAATGCATGTGCGGCGGTGGCGGCGATGGTGGTGTAAAGAAAAAACAACAACACCAACAACAAGGAGGGTTGCTACACACAGTTCCAGTTCTTATAGCTGTTCTGAACATATGCGCAAGCGTGCGAGCGAGCGAGCCCTTCTTGTAATTTTTTTGTAAATTGGAATTGGAATTTGAAATTAGAAATGAAATGTGCGCCTGCTTGCATGTGTTGGTGCATTTCGTATGCATGTATGTACATACATTTGTATGTGTGCCTCACTTTTGCGGTACTTTGGCAGACGGCGGGCGTTGTTCGTTCTTCCCTACTAAGCGGAATTCCCTTTTGCACGTTCTGCTCGAGCTGTTTTCATTTTCATTGGCAAGGAAGTGCATCCATCTGCACATTTTGGGTCACGCAAAGCGCAAAAGAACACGAAAAATAAAATAAGACGACGACTTTGACTTCAACTTTGTGAGTGTCTCGTCGGACAGTCAGTCAGTCAGTCGGCGAGCGGCAAAGAACCGCAAAGAATAACAACAACAAAGAAATTACTCACTGCCCCACGCTTTGGGGCTTGCAGCGATTTTTTTAAAAGTATTTTTTCTTTACTTTTTGCGCGGAAGCCGGTTTAATGAATGAAAAACAGCAACAACAAAGCAAGGCAATAACAACAACAGCTGAGCGCTGGCCTGTAGCCGACAATACGTGCCGGTGGCTCTTCAGGAAAGAAACAAAAAAAACTCGTTGGCTCTTTGTTGTTTTTGTTGTTGCTGTTTTCAAGTTCAAAGCGTGAAGTTATAACTTGTACTTTCATTTACGACAAGCATTAATTATTGTTACTATGTATGGTACACTTTTCACATAAATTTTTGTTGCTCCTACTGTTTCTGGCATTTGATAATTACCTTGAACATTCCATGCTGTTGCAGTTATTTTCCTCGATTATCGTTTCCCACAGCATTTTGTTGCTAGTGTTTTTGTATTATATTTATTTCCACAAAGAACAGTTGCGTTCACTTCGATCTTCCTCTCTTTTCGCCTTCGCTTATTCAAATTGCTAAAACACAATTTTCTCTTGCTTCGCGCACATTTACGGTTATCCCTGCATTTGCATTTGTTTTACAGTTTTAATGCGCGATTTTGCACTTTGTAGTCCTTTGTTGGTTGCATTTATTAAAACTAATATTGCATTTGTTGTTACAGTTGCATTTTTTGGAGTTTTGTTGATGATATTTTAAAATGTCCGGTTTAGCATTTTTGAATTTGATTTGTTGTTCTTTTTTGCTTGCGTTTATTTTTGAAAACATTCATATATTCGTTTAAAATATCCAGGCATTAAACACATCCGCACTCATAAAACTGTTGTTCTTTACTACCGTTCGATGTGAGTTGGCCGCCCAACTCAGAGGGAGAACAGCAGATGTTGACACGACGACGAACAGAAAACAAATGTATGACCGTCTCTGAGCGCAGCTGGTTTTTATAGAAGAGCGCAACCCTCTGCTTCGATGCAGGACTGCAGAGGCAAAGGCAGAAGCAGAAGCGGCGCTTACTGCGGTATGTGTGTGCAGAAGACTATGCGTGTGTGTGTGTTTGTGAGAACTAGTCAACTAAATTAGTTAGTGCATTGTTGTTGTTTTTGATCTGCTGCCGCTGCTGCAGAGATTCTTTTCATAGAACAGAAAAAAATTTGTGTTGCCTTGCTGCTCATTTATGTGTGCATGAGGAGGAGCAGCATATGTATGTGCAGCAGGGGCAAGAGCGGGAGCTGAAATCTATATTTATGAGTACATACTTATGTACTAGTATATGTGGCTCGGCACAAAAAGTAAAATGTGTGAAAGGAAAAAACGGAAAATCTAAGTAACTTGGAGCGATCTTGTGTGCAACAGGTAGTTTTTCTTCGTAACGAAAGGCGTACACAAATTTCCCCTCCACACCAATGGATGTGGCAGGGATTTGCTCCTGATTACTGCCGTCGACTTGGTGGTCGCCAGCGCTTTGCAAGCAAAAAATTTTGGCGGGCTTGCTTTTATACCAATCGCAGCGTCCCCAAAGAGCGCAAAAAATAGGCGCACAGCCGAGTGGGGCACGAGTGGAGCCGAAAACAAACGAAGCAAAAACATATGTGCGAGAAAACGGATTGCGTTTCAGTTCTGCCAATATTCGAGCTTCAAAAAAGCTAGATCAGCCCTTGAAAGAAGCTAGAAATGGCCAAATAATATTCAAATATCACTATATGCAATTATTGTTCATACTACCGACAAAACCGCAGTTATGGTTATTTTTAAATAAATATTAATAAATATATACGAGTTTTCATACAGCTGTACCAGTAACTCCGTTGTTTAATAAAATGTGTTTTTTATGCTAGGACCTTTTTATTACGTGCCTTGTGAAAAAGCGTTCTGAAGTCTCGCCAATCTCAGTTTAAATATTGTTTCTACAATATTAATATGACAAACTTAAAAGCTGGTGGTAAAACAGCTAAATTTGTGCGACTGACTGGCATTGCAGTTTGTTGAAGCGGCAGCTATGGGGGAAGGAAACGTGCAAAAATCTTTAAGCAGAATTTCAAGAGGGCGGCAACGCCAACGTTATGGCATTACCACAACGAAGAACAAAAAGAAGAATCGATTGTGTCGTTTGCAGGTAATAATGTGAGATCCACGCATTCCCAAAGTGTGCAGGTATGCACATTTATACATATATTTGTATATAAAAATCCGTACATACATAGTTTATATACATACATATATATGTAGGATGCTCCAGTCATATGATCGTCGCGGTGGCCAGGCGGACTGCTTTTGTATTGTGTTGTATGTGAAGACGCCAATGTCGTTAAGTGAGCAGCGCTCCAGTGGGGGCATGTGTGTGTGTGTGTGTGTGTGTGCGAGCGCGGCAAAGTTAAAGCAAAAATCGAGTTATGTGTGCAGTGGTGCTGTTGTTGTTGTTGGTTTTGTATGCAGGCCCTGCTGTCTGAAGGAGCGAAGGAGGGAACACCCATGGGTAAACAGGCGAATGGATAAAGAGTGCAGTGGCGTTCTTGCAGTTTTTGTTGTTGCTGCTGCTGCTGCCTGTTTGTAAGGCTTCGCGGCTTCTTCGACAAGCAAATCAAAGCGAAGCAATGATAAACAAAGGGCAGAAAGCAATGGTATGGACGTAGCAACAAAATGAAATCATTTACCCAAGCAAGCCTTCAAATTGTTCATTACCAGTAGAGGAGTAAATGATATAAAAGTGATTACCTCTACCAGTTGATGAGTAGAGCTCCAATAGCGGCGCAAATATTGCGCTCAAAGCTAAATGAGCTACGGTTTCATTCTCTTGAATTCCTTTTGGCCTCTTTGTTACTGCAGGAAGAGGATCATCTTATATAGTGCGCAACAAAAACAACAATAACTACAGCAGCTACGAAAAGGACGACGAAATCATAAAGTGGTTTTGAACAAGTTAAAAAGCGCACTTCTTATGCTTGCGATGGGTTAGAGGGGGGTTATGGTGCGCGGTACTGAGACTCGTGCAGTAAAATTGTGTGAAGCTAAAAAAAAACCTTAAACTCATTCATAGCCAGGCACCGTGGTTCAATAATTAAGAAAATAAGGTAAGCACATGGTCAATTGTTTTAAAATAATAATATGAAGCACATAACATACTATAATACGATGTTTTCTCTTGCAAATTCCGATTAATTTCACTGACAATTTGGTTAGAAAATGGCTTCAAGTGAAATGCAATATTCACAAATTGTTAACAATTAATATACTTGTAATTTGGTATAATAACTGATGTGAATATAGATTGACCAATTGATTATCATAATTTCAGATTATAACAATAAAGCCTGATGGTTAAAGCTTTGGCTCACTTGGCTGTGAGTCGGGGCAGGCTATATGGGTAAGTTCCACAACTATTTTTCAATATATGTAAAGATAGGGTTTTTTAAACTAAAGCCACTGAAGGTGCTTAATGAATTTCGCAATTATGTATAATTTATTATACCAATTGACTCACGCAAAATTGATCTTATTCTATTGCAATTTTTATAATAACTGATTGTCCTAATTACTTGAATCCAAGTTGGATTCAATACCGCTTATTCAGAGATCGAATTTTGGAAGCCCTTCAATCAAAAACAAAATCGAGGTCTAAAAATTTAAAAAGTGTTTATCTTAGCAACTTTAATTATAGTTTTTATGTTTTAAACAAATTTTAATAATTTGTAAATGAAAAAGTATTTCCAACATTAAGATGCTGAAATTCATTCCTTTAATAATTCAACATGGAAGATAGAATCGTTTAAGTTTTGGGGTACGACATAGTCCAGTTTAGTTTGTTGTTCTTACAGTTATTGATTTTCATTCAGTGTGAATCAAAGTAAAGCTACATATGAGTTCATCTAATTACTTCCACAATCGTGGACAATAATAGTAATTTATCAGATGACTTCCAGAATATGCCCATCTTATCTTTTTCTGTTCAAGAAATCAATTTTAGTTTAATTTTCATCACGAATTGCATTTTCCTACCATTTGGAAAGTGTGGCAGGTTATCAATTTGAATTACATAAAGAATATATGGAGTCGATGCTTAACTGAATTCTTCCGGTATATGTGTACGCATAGTCCATGATAACAGACACCATTTGGTAGGAGAGTTTGTATTCTACTGTAAATTAAGAACAGTTTTTAGAGGTATAACAGGAACTTTAAAAATTAATAATCATTTAATTTAGTATATAAAGTAATAAAACTTTAATTCCTTCATCGAATGCAGTGAAGGGTTTAATGGATTTATCAGTTTTTTTAACCATATTCTTCATTATTATAAGCTCAGGAGAGTGTGCTGGTAAAATAGAGTAAATAAATTCCTTACCACAGTGCGCAAAAAGGAACAAAAAAGAACGCGAAATCGACTGTGTATGCAAAAAACTTTTATAAACATATGTTTGTTTGTATGTATGTGTGGACATAGCTGGAGAATTTGATTGCGACAAAAGAATGGGCTGCATACACACACGAGTATGCGAAGAGTTTGTAACAACAACAACATGAATGGGAACAACAATAGCAGCGAGAGCAGCAAACAAATCAAACAAACCAAAAGAAAAAAAACAACAACTAAATTGTAAATCGAAATTCCAAGAAGTGAGCTTTAAGATTCTGTTTTATATATTTTTTACTGTGCGGCGGCGGCGACGTCGACGGAGGCAGAGTAAAAAAGTGTGTGCAAAAAAATTGGGTAAAGAACGTTTGAGATACTTTCGCGCGCGCGCGAAACCACGGGTCTTGGGTCGAGAAAGGGCGGCGAGGTGGGCTGGAAGTTGAGCGTGCGTCCGTATGTGTGTGTGTGCGTGTGTGGCACTTAGGGCGGTGCTGTGCATACACAAAGGTATCGCATGGCGACTCTGCAATGCAATTAGAGGATCACTGTTGAGGAATTTGTATGCCTAGGCAGACGTGCCATACAACCATATCAGTAATATATACATATGTATGTAAATAAGGCTATATACATATGTATGTTAATTCCCCTAACGCCCCCAACATGGCATTTGCAAGTCAAATTGACGAAGGTGTTGACAGCTTTGGGGACTCATGAACTCTTTCTTTCTCGCTTTCGCGTTCGCTATTTCACTTTTGTAGGCTCCCACGTGCTTCATCTTCGATTTGGTCTCGCACTCCCGCTCTCTTGCACAAAACGCAGGGGAAATCATTGAAGTATATACAATACATAGAGAAAAAAGAAACGCGGGCAAGAGCGAAGAGCAGAAAATCAAATACTGATCAGAAAATGCCGACAGGCCGGCAGTTAGACAGACGGAGGCAAGGACACAGAAGGCGAGGCAAAAACAAAAACTGCTGTTAGACAAGGATACCCCATTATTGATACCTGACTGACGACGACTGACTGATTTGGCAGCAGAGGCAGCAACAGCGGGGAATGACCCTCGTCTTCTCTCATATGTTCGATCAGCTGATCAGTCGAGGACGAAGGATATGCACAGCAGAGAGGCAAAGAATTTGTCCTGCTGTGCCTTGCTGTGGTAAGTGTGTGTGTCACGAGGACAACAACAAAAACAACAGCAGCAGCAATATTGTCGAAGTAACGCGCGCGCAAAATTCCTTAACACGAGCTCACGTCGCCCTTCAAGTCCTTGTGAGTGTGTGTTTGTGTGTGTGTAAGTCGACAGAGGGGGGAAACTGGCCAGAGATTTCTTGTGTATGCAATGGAAGTGGAATTGCATTGGCGAGAGGAGCGACCGTAGAAGTAGGTGAAGAGTGCGGCATGGAATGAGCGCGCAAAACGGAAACGAAGTTCGTTTTTGCGCCAAATTGTTGGGCCGTGTACATACAGTGTGTGTGTGTGTGTATGTGTGTGTGTGTGGTGTGCAGGACTCGTCTGAGGAAGGCAGCAAAGGTTTCTCAATATTTAGTGTCTGTCGGCTTG